CACGCGGGCTGGGTTCCCACGATCCCACACACTGCCGAATGTGTGCAGCACATTTTTCAAAGCAAATATTTTCCTTCGCAGCCGCACAAAAAATAAAGATTTATGTAAAATTTGACGCGTAAAGTTCAACAAAAGCAAACGCAGTTCTTTTTCCACCCTCTACTCTACCATTTTTTTCGGTGAACTCGGTCTATATTTATTTACCTCTTTTGTGCTCCCAAAATATGCAAATTCATGTAGGGATTTTTATTACCACGCCGCGCGACCCCCATAAATATTCCCATATTCCCGGAGCGTAGACAAAAGTGAATTTCTTGGAATCGAGGCTGGTCAACAGCGAAATTACTTGGATGGAATCCTTCGAGTGCGAGTGCCGAGTGCCCGGGTCGAGATTGGCTCGAGATTTGTCAGATGTCAAGGACAGAGAAGTGAGGCCTTTGTATACAAAATGCAAAACGAGAAGCCAGGAACTCAGTCCATCTGAAGTCTCTTCCAATGGCAACGCTTTGGGGTGCTGCAGTCAACAGTTGTCTGGCCCAACGAAGCGTCTGCAGACCAATGCATCAATGCCTCTCGACCACTTTGAGCTAATGGCATTGTCCATGTCGATGCCTGATGTCTGATGTCTGGTGCTAGGAGAGGATATGTCCGTGTTGGCCAAAGTGTTTCGCATGAATTATTCGCATGTTGCCAATTTGGGAGCCATGCTCAAATTGAAAATGATTTACACCCTGGCCCCTGGACCCTGGCCCCTGGACCCTGGCCCCTGGACCCTGGCCCCTTCCCCTTCCCCTTCCCTGCGTAATGTGTATTTAATGAGAGTGGCAAGGTACTAGTGTACCCCCGGCTCAGGTTGCAGTTCGTTTACAGGTTTGTTTTTATACACATTTGAAAGGGATACGGCGTTTAAGCACCACAGACGTTCATAAATAAAGGAGCGATCGTTATGAAGGCTCCATAGCACGCTTCGTCTGCGCGAGTTTTGGTCTTTTGATACCATTTTGCCCGCGATGCGGATTTTTGGTCATTTTCAGCTCAGACTGGCCTTCGTTTTCCATTTCATGGCCAACTGCGTCGCGGCATGCAAAAATCCACTTTCCACTGCATAAGGTACACAAAAAAACGAATGCCATTGCGGAACGGAATGGGAATGAGAGACGAATAGGATATGGCAGGGATTGGGCCCTGGATACGGGGAGTTTTGTGGCCAAGCTACCAATAATACACGGAAAATGCTTTTTCGGTTTGATTTCGCTTTCCTCCGCCACCGCCACCGGCACCGACTTCTCGCTTCTCGCTTGTTGGCCATTCATGAGTTTTCATTTCATTTTCGCTTATTGCATACATTTTGCGTTTTGTTGCCCGGGTTTCCCATTTCTAATTTTGTATTTCTATGCGAACGGCAGTGGGAGTGGCAGTGGCAGTGGCAGTGGAGTGTGTCAGGATTTCCCTTACCCAACAAAATATGTTCGGCTGCTGCCCCAGCGGAGATAGTGGTGCATAGAGGGGCTGCGGCTGGATCTGGGACTGGAGCTGGGGCTGGGGCTGCGGCAGAGTCGCCTCGAGGTGGCAGTGTGTGAGATCTTTGCATGTGAAATAAAAGCTTTGTTGAAATTGAAAAACTTTTCCAATATATGCTTTTTCTTTCTCTCCCATTTTATTATTGCATTATATGTATAGGTTTGTGGATATTTTTATTGTTTCATTTCAATTGCTTTTATTTCACTTCTCCGGCTGGGGCCTGGCGTGCGCGGGGGCGTGGCATTTATGATTCCCTCCTCCCCAGAGCCAGCTGCACTCCTAATCCCATTCAAATTGGATCCCGCAATTGTCGCCAATCCGATTGGAGGTTCAAGTTGGGTGAGCAACGTGCGAGGATTGGGAAACGGATCAGCAAATGACAGGTAACCTTCGCATAAGTGACGATGCATAGATCATGGGATAGAGAAAACTTTAGAAGAAGGCTTTATACTTCAGGGATCTTCTTGGTCTTCTTGCTGATCATTTCAGCATACTCTCATGGAAGTAATTTACCATTTAATATGGGAAAGTAATGACTTAAGTCTTGGATCATCTATTGATGACATTTCTTATGGCAAGGAACCCCTAGGAATCCACACCGCTTTATCCCTACGGAATTAAGTAATCAAACGCTTTTCTTTTGCATTTTTTAATGGAAACTTTTCGTGGCCCAAGTTTTCCGCTAATTATCCCAAGTTGCAGGGATAACCGCTCTCCCATTCCACACTCCCATTTCGTTTTTTGGCAACAATCAAAGATGACACTTGGCAGAGGATAGCGGCCACAATGGGGATCAACAAAGGACTGAGAAAAGAGAGCGAAATAAAGGGTACGAAAATGAAGGAAATAAAATTAATGCGTGGAAATTCATAAGCCCCGGACAGACTTTGACTCCGGGCGAGCTGGCAATTTGAGGCACATTAAGCGACTTAATTACATGCGGCTATTTAATTTTATTTTTCTTGCAGCGCCGAATGGGACGGAAGCGGGCATGGCGATGGGAATGGCGATGGAAACGGGAATGAAAATGGGCTTTTCATGCGTTTAACTCACAGATTGCATTTCCGGCTGTGTGACAGCTGCATCAAACTGACGTTTGTGTTACATAAATACGAGCATGTGCCAGGCCATCGCTATAAATCTGGCTGGACAAGCGCGAAGTCCGACTAAGAGGCAGAGTCCGAGTCGGAGAACCAGAACCGAAAGCCATCTTCTTGGCCTGCCAGTAAACGACACTTGCAGCCCCTCAGAGCCTGCGTCATATTTAAATGTATGGCTGGGTATAAATAAAAAGCCCTGGCCCTGAACTGACAGAGGGAGCCGGGGACGCAGCGGACTCTGTCAGTTAATTTCACGCTGCCAGGCTCCGTGAGTGGGCCGAGATGATGGAGTGCGTATGCATCATGGAAGACGGAGAAGGGGAAGGTCCCTGGACCTTTGAGGCATTACACAATACAATGACAATTGTGTGTGCGCACAGATAAATAAAGCATATTGCGACATAGAACATAAACATAACTAAAGCTTCACCCTTTTTCATATGCCTACACTTGCAGATACAAAGTGGTCCCTAAAAGTAGCTTATAAATTTTGAGATGCTTTTTCCACAATAAAAGATTACATACATATAGGGTTCAGTTTCAAAGAGAGTTCTCTGCATGGACAAGCCTTTTAATTACTCCCCCATCCATCTTTCAAGCGAATATCTCTCAGGAATGGGCTAACAAAAATAGAACAAGTGAGAACAATGCCACAACTTATCCGTCACAATTGGTTGGGCTTTTCTCCAAGTGTATGGCAGTCATAGAGGCCAGGCCGCCCAACAATTGACAGCAATATTTGCCTATCTTAATACCATGTCACAACCGAAATTGGCACTCTGTCTGTGTGGTTGCGGGCTCGTGTATCTCTGTTTGTGTGGGTTGGGGCAGAGCTAAAGGTCTGGCAAACGGAACAATTAAAAGCGGAAGTACTGTCGCCTCATGGCTGATAAGCGTGCAGCGAAAATCACAGCTTTGATTGCCCTTCTGTGGATGCTTATCAAAAAGTACTTTGGCAACATTCGGAAGGCAACGAGGGGGGTGGTTTGATGTGGCCAGAGGGTAGAAGCTATCTGAAAGTAAACTTTTCCAAGGTTCCACCTGTGCACTCAAATGGCAGGGAGTCGGAGACGTGAGCGAACCTGACACGACACAACGACATGGACGACCTTGAGCTGGTGCAAGGATTCCCAGCACACCCACACACTCACACGTGATAAATTCCGCAAGCAGAGCACACAAATTAGATACAATTGCCATTGAGGCTCATTAGCAACATTTGGATTGTTGCTCCGCTCCTGCTGCTGGCCCGCTCTTCCCTGCTTTGCCTTGCTCTTTTGTCATGAGGCAAGCAGTCGCTTTAATTGTGCGTGTGGGTCTTGCTGCACTTGTCGCACCAGCTGAAGGGTGCCGCATACCCTTCGTCAACACTCCCACCCACATGCCACATGCCACACGCCAGCTGTGAGCTCTCCAGGGTCTGTACCATTCAGCGGAGTATTCAGCGTCAGCGCATGCGCAGCTCGAGCAGCGCTCTCTTAGCTGCCACACTCTCACTAATACTCTTACGCACTGCTCTTTAGTGGAACATGGAGCTCTTTGCAGCTTGCATGGGCTAGCAGTTGTAGCAGTCAGCTTTGGCCTGGCATAAATTCAAGCAGCTTTTGTCTGTTCGTTGGGCATGGCGTTAACATTTGCGGATGATTTTAGTGGTTCGACTAGTTACTTGCAATTTGCGGCTTAGTGGTAAAAGCTAGATGATTTTCTGTTTCCAAGCTGTAAAATTTCCCACTCAAAAATCATATTACATCGACTAGAACCAAAAAATTTTGGTATTTATAAACCAATTTAAAGCAGCTACTGTGCCTCAATACTCTGTTTATAAAGCAGAGACGGCTATTCGTTGGCTAAAAAGATTGTCCCACATTCGAAAATACTCCAAAAACTTTCAGGGATTTCTTTTAAATAAAACGCTTTAGCTTACAAATCAATATTCTTGTTTTATTTGCTTGAACACAATACTACAACTAGCTGATTGATGTTAAATGCCGATCGATTGGTTAACAGGATGACAGTTTAGGGGGTAGCAAACATTTGATACAAACATTCGTCTGGGTGAACCGACCTCCTCCGCCTTCTGGTGAGCTTACAGGCAGCCAAAATTCGTACAAGTTTCGGTATAAATAATTTCCACAGCGGTTACAGCACTAGGAATTCGGGATTGTCGTATGGCAGTTGTCTGGACTGTGATTGTGGGGCATAGAGTGCATGTTTAAATAAGAACCTACAATTGGCTAAGGCTAGGTGGGGTCAGAATCGATGATGGTGGTTCAGTGGTTTTCTAATGGCACTACATAGTAGCTATTAATGGGGGCGCGGGCCTAATACATTGTGCGGCATACGAGTATGGGGGACAGACATTCTTCTCCACGGCAGTCTTCAGCCACGCCACGTCAACAGGCTCCAGCCGCGGCTCGGCTTCCTTGTGCTAGTTGCCACAGTCTGCTCCTGCTCCTGCTGCTGCTGCTGCTGCTCTACCTCCGCTTGTGCCACCGCCTCCGCCTCCGTTTGCTGCCGATTCTGGTTCGCAGCCTGCGCCTGCTCTATATAGGTGCGTAGAATGGTATGCTTGTGTACGGACTTCTCGAACTCGGCCGCAGAGGGGCGGTACGCCTCCAGTTTGTGCTTGTAGCGGCCGGACTGGAGCGCCGGTGGCTCCGGCTGGCGCTGCTGCTGCTGCTGCCGCTGACTGGCCTCAGTAGTGTAGGCGTGGCTGCCGCCGCGCGAGGCGGTGCCAAACGAGCTGCCGCCGGACGTCGCTGCCGCCGCTGCCTGTGGGTGGGTGGGATAGGGGGACAGGGGGTTGGCAGAGGGTTGTTTGGGATTATTGTAGAATCGGTTGAGGTTGTAGGTGGGTTGGCTCTTGTTAATGTTGTTAGTCGGCTGGTTGTTATTGTGTTTGCTGTTTGTGTTGCTGTTGCCGTTGCTGTACTCATACGTTTCAATGGTGTTGCCTCCGTAGACGCTGTTGCTGGTCGCCGGTGCTGCTCCGGGTGCCGCGCACAGGCCCTGGTACTTGGACGAGGGCTTCATGCCGTAGGTGGAGCACGACGGTTTTCCCACCTCATAGGGATTGTAGCCCACAACGTTGCCACTGCAAGGAAAAATCGAATGCCATTAGCTCCTGGAACGCAATTCAATGGATCGTGTCCGCACTCACCCCGGCCCGTAGTTGCACACGTAGAGCTTGTTGTACTTGCTGGCATCCTTGTACTCGGCGTAGCCGCAGCCCACTAGGCTCGTCTCGCCCCAGACGAGTTGCGAGTAGTGGCCCGTCTTGGGGGACCAGGCGTCGCCGAAGGAGTACTTCTGCACCTCGTTGAACCAGCTCTGGATGCGGGAGGGGAAGTCCCCGTCGTCGGCGTCCAGCGGCGCCGTGCTCCAAATAATGGCCAAGTTCTGGCCCATGGTGAAGCGATCTGTCAGCACACGTCGGGAAACAGATTAGTGAAACTCCCTTTTTTTTCGGGACTGTCGAACAGGCAGCGTGGATGTGGGGGATGCAGGTGCTGGGGCGTGATCGGGGTTAGTCTTAGTGTTTTAAAAGCGAAACGTGCAGGCAGAGTATGGAAAAGATGACGACTCTTAAGAACTAGGCTCATTAGGGTGGACACTTATCGGCCAGAGGTCTTCAGATTACTCCACTCCATTCCGGCGATAGGTGTCCGCCCGTTAGGAGCATTTCCATAGCATGCAAACCGCAAACCACAAACCGAAGGATCCGCGCCTAATGGTATGCGGGAAAGGATTCCACCTCCGGGTCTCGAGTTCAGGTGACGAGGGATGGGGGAAAGGGGCGTTTTCGCATGGGGTTGACAACTTACTTATTGTGCGGTGCGGATCGTGACGGAACTGGCAGTTATCGGCCCACTTCTGGGCCCTGGCCGCCAGCTCGTCGTCCCAGACGATCTCGCGCATGTTCTCCGCTCCTGGCTGGCCCGGGTAGCGTCCGGTGGCCACGAGCTGCCGGAGGCGGTTGTGTTCCTGCATGATGATTGATCTCTCTTCCGCCGTGATGCCCGATGCTGAAATGATTAGGTCGAGATTTGCATAAATTACGAGTGCGAGTATTAGGGGACGGGTGTTGGCCTGCGGAGAATATGAGAATATGCATGAGCCACGGTCAGCGATTGGGGGCCGTGGAGAATGTTATCATTTCTATTTTTGTTTGCATTAAAATTTTGAATTCGTAGATTTCTTCGAGGCAGTGTTTCTCCTTCTGACGTAGCCCGGCTCGACCGACTCTGAGCCGGTTTGAAGTGAGTTAATATTTGCCGAAATTTCATCCGATTCCGATTCAGGTGGAAGAAATCCCAAGTGGGGTTCGAGCGCGCTCGGAAATTTACATCTGCCTTTGTTTTACATATTTTAATTATTTGCCCGCAGAGCCATCTACGTGTGCTCCGAATTGTCCACGATCTGCTTTATGTAACGAGCCGGTTACCCGCACACATCACAAGACATTTGTGTCACTTTCCTTAAGGCAACCGCAAGCCGCAAGCCGCCAACCCCGGACCGGTTTCGATAATGTTTGGCCATTAAAATAGAATACAGAACACAGAACACAGAGCATCCAAACCTCTAAACTCTAAGTCCACGAAATGAAATGCAAAAACCAAAAACGACGCGGCGCGTGCTATTCAAAGGCGTCAATTAAAAAGCCAGCGCATTGCCATTAGCCAATTTTTACGATTGTGTGTAGGAATATATGGGAATCTATCTTTTATCTGGCTTTTATCAAAAGTCGTGGGCTCACGGCGCCTGACTCATGACTTTAGCTTGAAGTGTGTCAGGGGATGGGATCGCTGGACTCCGGCAGAACTGCCCGGGGTGCTAATTACGCTGCGTCCACAGAAGGCGCACGTGAACTGCGCTGCGGAAATGGGTCCTTGCCTCGCGAGGGGCGTTCCCAGCTGCCAGTTGCAGGGCAGAAGAGACCAGGGCAGACCAGCGGGTAGGCTGCCCCATTTCATTTAAATAATTACGCGCGCTTAATAATTTTTAATAATTATAATAATGGCTGAGCCGATGGGCGCTGATTGCCCACGAGAGACGTGATAGCATTTAGGTCCGCTCCGCTCTGGCCAGGGCCTGGGCTTCCGTCTCTATCTGTGGCCCTTCTCCAACTCTTGGTCCCATGGAGTGGCCATGGCATCTCCCCGACCGGTCAAGTGCCGGGACGTGTCTGTCAGAGTCGTCGGATCGAGACTCAAAGTCAGACAACTTGACGCGCCCAGTCGCAGCGCCGATCGGAGGGTAAATAATTTGCAGCTTCGCTTTGCTGCCGTTCGCACAAATATGGGTCTAGATGTCAATACAGCTGTTGGCCAACAAAGCCGAGAAGTGTTTAAGGTAGAATGTTAAACACGGCGTTTGCTTTAGCTTAATCTTAATACGCTCCCAAGGTTGGGCTGGCCGCGAGTCTGGGAAAGAGACTGGGCCGGCCAGTCGCCGACTGAAGCTGGCCTGGAGCTGCCACTCGGACGGCGACTAAAAATAGCCCATGAGCGATGGCAAGACTCAAAACCGAAGACTCTGCGTTGACCGCAGCTGTCAAATTATGCTACATTTGTATCAATATGGAAATCCAAGCTGCGGATGGGCCCTGTCCCCTGTCCCCTGTCCAGAGCTGTGTGCTCACGTCGGAGGCATCACGCCCGAGTGCTCACGGGGCACACGGTGCCGCTCTGTGGCTGCAACTTGAGGCGCTATGCAAATTTGTGAACTACCTTCGCTGACAAATTGCACATAAAGCTGTCGATCAGTTTCCGCAACCGCCGCATTTACATATTCTTAGTCCGGCAATAAAACGAAGACAAAACAAAGTGTTGCTGATGCTGTGGCTGGGGCTTGAACTGAGCCTGTGACTGTTGCCTCTGATGGAGATAATGTTGACAACGAAACGTCAACAGCTTGCAATAATTTTGTGGCCCCCGTTCTCGCTGTCGAAAGACTCAGGCAACGAACTTGCTGTAGAAACTGGCCCCGGACCCGAGACCCGAGACCCGAGCCCCGAGCTGCGAGACCAGAGACCAGAGCCAAATGCCGACAATATGTTAACAAGTGCTTAACTGCATTTCGTCGTGGCCAGGCGTTGACTTCACCTTGAGCATGTCGTGGCCAGGACAGGGCCGCAGACAGGGGCAAGGACTGCCAGACGTTGAAAAATCCCTGCCGCATTTAGCGCGAGTTAATTTTCATAGTTATGCTTTATGTTCCGTTTCAGTTTCATTTATCATTCACTGATTATCACTACAACTAGCCCTGTACCCTGTACCCTGTACCCTGTCCGCTGTTCCCAGTCCCCTGTTCCCCGTTCCCTGTACCCTCCCGCCTGTAGCCGTTGCAGCCTGTTGTCCGTTGCGTATCTACATATTTAATTACATTATTAGCACTGGCCGCTTTTGATTGATGCCGCAGCAAAACGCTTAAGCCGCCAGTATGGGCTTAACAGCTCTGATACCATTGTGGTGCCATTGAAGAAGCGATATCTCTGTGTTTAACTGTGAAATTTTTCATAAGACATAGGAATCAATGAAATCAATGATTTGTGCTGGGAGATGGAGATGGAGATACCTCCGAGCCGAAGACAAAGGCATAAAAGCAATCATCAATCAGCGACGCACACGCGCACTATAAAAACTTTTTGTTTTCATCTCGTTTTTATGGCTGGAATTTGTTTTTTTGGCCAACACGGGCTGGGCTGGGCCTGTGCAGAACAAAGACCATTAAAACGATTGTTTTTGGTCATTTTGAGACGTTGCTATTCCTGATTCCTGATCCGACTCTGCCAGCGGCAATGACCCATTAAAATCGAGTGATTTGTATATTTTTGTGCTGGCGCCAGTGCTCTCCGCCAAATTATAAAACCAAATCTCGAATATCAGTTCAATAAGCTCTTTAATCACACTTTAAGACAGATGCTCGTACACAAGTGTCTCTGTTCTGTTTCGCTTGATTGTTAGACCGAATTTATCGGATCGGAACGGATCGGAACGGATCGCAAGGGTTCTGCAAGGCGACTGATTTGATCTGAGGAGTTGACTGGCCTCTACTTCACTTGGCCGACAGTTGACAGGTCAGCCACCCAAAATACATTTACCTCAACCTCAGCATTTGATAAATATTATATAAACTTGATATTTGAACCGGTTTCCGTTTCCCCCTCGGGTGGCTCTTAAGTAATATGCCGCCATCGCTTGTGGCTTTTCTAAACTATTTTATTTATTATGCAATACACCTAATAAAACCAGGCAGGCAAATGAAGAAAGGCGACTCGTTTTAGCTAACGTTGGTGGCTATTTTTGGATTTTTCGATAGACCTGCCAAACGTGCTAAGAAGCATTTACATATGTAGGACTGCGGACACCTGTCCGGGATAAATAAGTTCTAACGATCTCCCATACTACGATGTGGGCTAATATTTGCCCATTACCAGGTGTGCTCTTCACCCACAAAATAAATGGCAAAAACGTGTACAAACTGAACTAGAAAAAAAAACCCACAATCGGAGCTCTATTTATTAATGCCAGGCATGCACTCAACTTCTATTCTCTATGGCACTACTTAAGCACCCCATATTCCCTGGGTACTGGGTGGGTCCGCTCGGGATGGACGTGTCGTGGGAGGCTTACCAATTATCTTTCCATTGCAGGCGAGTGCCGCTCCACAGGAGACGATCAGGATGGTGGACAGAACCAAAGCACTGTGCTGCATCATTTTGGATTGGATTTATGATTTTATTTTATTTGATTTGTAGCACTCGTTTCTCTTTTGGATACCCGCACTAGTTGGGCACTTTCTTATCGACTAAATATAACCTCTTCTTGTACGACAGTGTTATATTGGATTCATACACTTAGCATTAGATTTGAATTTGGTGGGAAATTTTTGTATCACAATTTTGGGGCAGACTCTGCTGCCGTTCTGCCAGAAACCGAAAAAGCGCCACGAAATTTGCCGACGACTCCAACTCCACTCTCGTGTACGTGCAGCTAGACTTGAAGGCGTCGTCTGTTTGATTAGCGGCTGCTCGGCGCCGACGCTTTTATACCGATGCCGGGGCGGCGTCGCTGCCGATAACAGAGCCGACTTCGAAGAAGCTGCTGATCAGCACCTGCTGATTGAGTGCGTGGAGAGACAGAGCAGCGAGAGTGCGGGAGAGCGAGAGCAGGCGCTGCGCAGTCGCAGTCGCGGTAGCAGTGCACACTGGGCGGAATTCCCAAATAAGTGGCATAAAGTCGAAAAAAGCATATAAAAAGCTCAAACTTGGTATATTTGATAAATATAGCACTCTAAATATTTAAAAAAAATGTTAAGTTAATTTGACCACGCCTACCCCAATAGCCCGTATATATAGCCCATAAAAATATAAAACAATTTTTTGAATAACGAATTCTTATTTTCATTAAATTCTTACTTAATGCCGGGTTCTATATTAATTTATTCTACTATTTAACTATTTCTAATAATTTATGTTAAATTATTATTGTACAGCTAATTCAAACATTAATTGATTTTTCATAAATAGGGATTATGCTTTGAATTTAATTAAATACACTTAATATTTGCCTCAACAAAGTTTTCAACTTTGTGCCAGTTATTTGGGAATACCGCCCACTGCCGTGGCGACTTGTCAACATGCTGCTGACAACATGCTGCTGGCAGCATGTTGCCGTGCCCTGATCTGGGTTCTTTGAATAATTGCCCCCAGAGCCAAAGACAGGGGCAGGGCAGGGCAGGGAAAGAGTAAGAGCAGATTGAACCCAATATCAATCATGCTGCTGGTTCGGCAACAATCACTTGGCTGCGCACGGGGCGTGGCATGGGGCATTGAGGGCGACTAGGACAACAGCAGCAGCAGGTGCCCTGCGGCCAGGAGCGGAGTCCAGTCGCAGCCGCAGTCGGAGCTTCGATCATTTCGCGTATCATTAAAAACCAATAAAAACACCCAATTAAATACACAGCGCTGAGCAGCAGAACAAATGCCGCCAGATCCTTTCACCAGTCGTGTTCCAGATAAAGTAGGGCCATCGGTGCACATTCACATCGGTTCACATCTCGTACTCGTACTCCCGTTCCATGTCCGCATTTCCGCCTCGGTTCGCGACCGGGCGGCAATCTGACTTCTTGCCAAAATAATTACGCGTACAAAGCCATTAACAAGTACAAACGATTGAGCCGGCAGCCCAGCAGCCCAGCAGTCCAGCATCCCCAGCAGCATGGACATGGACATATACCATCCCAGGCGATCTTCGCCTGGCAACTGGCAACTCGCAACTGGTTCTGGTTATTTCACCTCGTTTTAGTGGCTCTACCTCCACGTTTACCCATTCGGATGCCACACATGACGTTTCGTTTCGGTTCGTATGGGGGGAACGTCCATGTCCATGTCCCAATCCCAGTTGCAGTTCCAATCCCAGGGTCCAGCGATCAGTGATCAGGCAGTGACGTCTCTGCTGCCCCGCTGATTTATTTTATTTCACGAAAACTACATAAATATTAAAAATTATGCTTTACAGAAATATGAAATAAACATGTGCCCGAAACACGTTCTCCGATGTTCATTTTGCTGTTGCTTCGCCCCTGCCCTGCCCTGCCCTGCCCTGCCCTGACCCCGCCCTACCCCCCTTCCTATTCCACTCGATTTCGTATTGTGTTCTGAATGGTAGCGTACATTTCCTACTCACTGTGATTTTATTTGTACTGAAGCAATACACATGCAGCTAAAATTTAAACAAACATTATTGGCCTTCGATTTCCTCTGCTTCTGCTGCTCCAACCACATCCACATCCATAGCACTCCACTCCATTCTCCTTCCAACTATTTGCATTTAAAGACGTGCGTATCTACGTATCGGAGTATCGGTCGATCCGTCCATCTGTCCGCGAATAGCCGCGTACATTTATGCGCATGTTAAGCAAAGTAAAAAATTCCCAACACCTCATTTAACTCAATTTAACAGCACTTGGCATCATCCGACTGATATCGAAGTGGTTGTAGCCGTTCTTCTGGTTGTTTTTGTTGCTGTTGCTGTTCCTCAAGTTGTTGTTCCTCTGGTTGTTGCCATTGTGTGGTTTTATGACTCAATTTAATGCCTTTGTTGCGTTGCGCGTGCTGCTGATTTGAACATCAGCTGCCACCCAAGCGGCCGTAGCCATTTCCCCAGCTCGGACTTATCGCTGAGCAACACTTTCCACGGAAATCCTGCCGAATGCATTATTTATGCGGATCTGCGTAACACTCAGATCGGTCAGTGTGAATCACCCGACCCAGTTATGCTGAGAAAGTGAATCGACCCCTGAATCATGCGGCAATCCCTGTGGGGCCTGTATGACTTGCAGTGGATACCCAGTTGGCCCGTGTTGGGTTTTATGATGATACTTACTGCTCCAAATAGTATCTTTTAAAAATAGCTAAGAAACGAGTTTCTCTTCTGCTCTCCGTATTCTAAATATACATATTGATTGTGCATCTATTATATAGATGAAGAAAGTAAAATAAAACAATGGCCCGAAACAAGACTGAATAAATTAATTGCTTAGTTAAAGCCATAAATATTCATACGAGGCATAAGTGTGCCCTGCCCCTTCCCGCCTTCCACCAACACCTCCACTGAGTTAGAAAGCCAGAACGAGCGCTGTCAATAAGGTCAGGCATGTCGTGGGGAGAGTGGGGCCAACACAGGTTTTCCATTTGATGATACAATAACGCACTCGCAAGGTCGCTGATAACTTTTCTAATCAGTCACATTCCCCGTTCGAGTTTGTTGACGAGTATCTCAGCGATCGCCTTGCGGAACTCTCCGTGCATATTGACATTCGTCAGTTTTCCTATATAGATGCTCATAACTGGCCTTTGCAATATTGTTATTAATACTCGAGACGGCAATGCAGGTGTCAAGTGGCCACATCAACGTCACTCAAGCACATCCTTGTTGCCTCATCGGATATCGCTTCCGCTGCCATTAATCTTCCCGCATAAACGCTCCGATCTGCTCCACTCCATCTTGTCCGAGCGCCAGAGATGACCAGCACTTGGGGACTAAATACTGACATTATGGATAAAACTCGTAAATCTCGTAAAACCAAAAGCAAAGGTTGAGGGGAACACAGCTTTGCTGAAGAAGCATAAAATACCTATACAAATTGACCTCAATTTTCAATGAAAGCGTATGATAAGCGAGCATTTCAACTGCTGTATCTGTTAGATACACATAGGATATATATCTAAATTGATCTGACCACAAAATACGTTTAGTCTTCTGCAATTCTGCATTATAATATAGGTTATGGACTTTGCGTAAGGTTTTCCTAGGCCAAAGCTGACACTCGACTTCATAGTCACCCACAAAACAGTTGTCACTGCCAATGACTCACTTCGCGGTGCTCATCTCCATTTCATCTCAGTCTATGACAAAACATTTCCATAACATTTCAATTTTTGCACTTGACGGCGCCTTAGCGACCCGCCTGAGCTGCCCCTGCCTCTGCCTCTGCCTCTGCCCCACAGGCCGCCAAAAGCGATGCCAACGAGTACGAGTGTTATTAAAATATTATTAATTACAATTGAAACCTGGCTGCCAGACTGTCTGACTGACTGGACGACTGGCCGACTGCCAGACTGCCTGGGCCGGCAGGCAATTTGACAGCAACATAATTAAAATGTCATGCCGATGGCGTTTATGATGAAGTTGTGCGCGTGAGAGAACTCCATTAAGAAACGGCGCAGTCGGAATCGGAATCGGAATCTGAATCGGAATGGCAGAGAGGCTACTTCCAGTTACACGGAATCGATTCGTTTTGTAAGGTTTTTCAATCATACTTATAGTTATTCAGAGTTGGAAAATAAGTCAATAAGCCATGTCGAACACGTGTTTGGGCGAATGAATGGAGGCTGTCGTAAAACCATAAACAAATTTCATTAGAGAAACGTTTTCATTCTTATGCTAAACCGATTCATATGCTGATCAATCTGATCATGGCTACGCTTGTGTGACTTTTTTTTGGTTTCTTTATCGTTTTGAACTTTTGTCGGCACAGGCACAGAAACGGGCTCAAAACGTGGCGGACCCACAGGGATTCAGGGGGAGAGCTGAGCTGAATCTCGGATATGGTATGGGTATGTATGCGCACACACCTTCATTAATTCGCTTTGGTAGCCAGCGATTTTCATTAAAAAGCCGTCAGCGTATAATAAATTTTGACCATTTTTTGTGATTTTTTCACTTTGCGCCTGCTGAGCTGATTTCGCCCGGCTCTTTATAGGCTTCATTATGGACCCAATCTGTATGCCGTATGTATTTATTCTGCCCGGCCAGGCGACAGAACATAATTTTAACGCTCTTTATCGCGCCGCTCCGCTGCGCATGCGCCCTGTTCGGGTCGGATCGGTTCGGATCGCTTGGATCGACACCCGATGCGAATATTGATTTATGTTTGGGTATTTTTGCAATTTTTTTTTTTTGTGAGTGGAATACTCAGTTTCAATTCGCTTGTTAACTATATCAGCGCATTTGATCTCGTCTCCCATCCATTTGACATCCGACGATCGCGAACAAACCTGACCCTCTCGACCCGTCGAACGACAACTTAATCAAAGCCAAGCACAGATCATAATTTATCAATATCTTTCAGACAGAAAACACGGCAGGAAAACAGCACACGGAATGGGAATACAATAGTCAAATTAACAAAACTATACATATACGTATACGTATTATTACTGTCTGACTAACGGTTCCAGGTGGTCTGGTCTTTGGGGGTCCGGCGGCTTAACAAGCCGTAAATTGTCGGCCCAGAAGCTTCTTACTGATTAGAGCGAAGACTCCTATTGATAGTTGCTATTAAGCCAAGCCGTCAAGGTTGGCAGTCGCTCGCCTTGAGTCCGCCTGTCCGCCTGTCCGCCAGCGTCAGCTGCCACTGTACGTTCCATTTAATGGCATCATAATAGAACATATTTAAGCCGAAATGTATCTATTATCCGACCATCTTCTGTTGGCCAGCGTAGGAAAGGTCATGCTTGGCCAAAAGCGGCGCGGAAGCGGCGTTCCACCAGCCCCTCCGAACGACGAACGCCGAACGCCGAACGGGATCGCGCTGAATAGATTTCAGATCAGAAGTTCTATAGGTGAGAGGACTGTACGTAGACTTGCGTCACAGAGAACGGGGAAGTACGATACCCTCTGAAAGGGTAGATCCGATGAACAATATTGAGCATAAACAGAAGCACTATTGGGACCCACTCGAACATCGCCAGCCTTCTGCGATGCCCCCTTTCGCGTAGGGTAACATGAAAAGCAAAAGCGCTAAGTTTCATAATTCTTAATTAGCTTAAAACTAAACTAGAAGCGGTCTTTGTCTGTCTGTCAGGCTGTCTGTCCGTGTTGTAGCCACAGCCAGGGCGAAACTCGTTTTTCCGATCTGCGATCAGTTATGCTGCCCTGTCCGACGGAATGACAAATTATGCATAATCAGACGGCAGGCGAGGTAGATGTTGTAGTTAAAGAGAGATTCACACAATTAACGAGCAAATTTATATATTTTTCGCTCAGAAATCTAACAAAATAATAGAGGCATCCCATGCATATGCATGAGATGCCTCGACACGCTGGTAGAAAGATAGAACAAGGCAGGTGACATGCCTCAGCCCGGCAGTGGGTGGTCTAGGGACATGCCCACACGAGATCTAACATCGTGCTGGAGGGCGGCTTGTCTCGGCGAAGTGGCGTGGATCTAGTGTCCACCAGAATTGGGTGCCGCTCCGTCCAGGGATCGCCGCGCCACACCTTGAAGGAGATCAGGATGAGTCCGCTGACCAGGCTAAATCCAGTGCAGCACCACTTGAACCTGAGTGCTGTACCGTTGTTCACGATAAGACAGCCAGAGCTCAGGTCCTGCACGGCCGATTTAACGGGCAGCGAACTGGCCAAAGGTGCAGCCGCCATCCGCTCTCCCATCCATTTGCTCTTTTGCCTGTTGCGCATCTGGGTGTGGAACTGCCGCCAGTCCCTGCAAACGTTATGCTGGAGTATGTCCGCTTGGAAGTACCTTTGCTGCTTCATGTTCAAGCTGTTGTCGTACTGCTTCCGCGTGCTGGGCCTGTGCAGCGTATTATATGCCTCCCACAACCTCGAGAACCGCTCGGGGTCGCAGCTCTGGCTGTTGGAGTCCGGGTGGTACTTTTTGGACAGCTCGATGAAGGCGCTCTTGATTTCCTGATCGCTGGCATTGGCGGGGACGTTCAGAACATGGTACAAGTTCTCCACTCGACGCCTCTGCATGGTTCTACGTGTTTACGAAAATTTTGCCAATTCCAAAACGTTACTGAAAAAGGATACAATTTGTACAACAGATACTGTCGCAGCTGCACAAAATTACTACTTACTTTTTTATCTGTGTGAGTGCTGACAACGATTTGACTTATAAAACACGCCTGCCAACAACTGGTGCCGGGAAAGTGTTGGCCATAATACGATTTGAAGCGTATGCAAATCGGTAGACGCTGATGCGTTATCTACAGTGTTGGCCTGGCCAAATGTGACAAGGGGCGACAAACTTTTGTGTCAACCTCCGAGAGAGATAAAGATAATGATCGACCCTGGGCTATATACGAATATAGTGTGGCCAATTCTGTAAACAGTCACACAATTGTGCTATGATTTGTGGGCCATTATCTCTTTGTCTGACCTTCCGGAAGTGCCAACGAACTTGGCAATGAATCTTCTACGCATGGAGCGGCGCGACGCGTGTGCTCTGAATATAGCCAGCCCGTGCAGCTGGCCCATGTTACACGGCGAATTTAACCCAGAAATTGAGGGGCGTTGAGTGGGTGTGAACTCGAGGCGAGTGGGTCATTTCTCTGAGACGCGACACAACAATTCCATTGAACTGGGCTTTTGGCCGCTGCGTCAGCAGTGCACAGCAGTCTATGTGGATTCCGCTGAAGGTGGTTCAAAATATTTGCACAAGGTATTACCGCAATTGCCGGTGATGGCGTATCCTCGGTGTATCGTATCGGTTGACAATTTCACGCGAACTCCAATGCCACACAGGCCAATATTTGCCCAATTGGCTTACTCATGATAGTCACTCGGGGGCCCAGGCAAAGCTACGAATTAGTGCGGCCATAAATGAAATTATAAATAAAGATGCGGCTATTTATTGTTAGCTGGTACAGCTCGTAGAGGTAGTGTGCCGTTGGGCCGTTGGGCAATCCCATTCCACTCGCAGCTTGACATCATTGGACAGCGGCGTACACCCAGATCTTCATCTTCCCCGGAAAGGTCTGCTAATTCGTTTCAGATGAGCGCGGCCCGTTTGACACCTTCTCACAGGTGTCTGTACCTTGGCAGTGACTGGGACTGCCACTGGGCCAGGAACAGTGACCTCGGAGCAGAAGCGGGTGCCACTATCGCAAAAAGCTGTGAAAATTTAATTGGAATTGACTAAGCCGCCGGGCCGGTTATTGATGGGCCTGTCATTAGTATTTTTAAATGGTTCCATGCCCGCGGAATCCCCTTCTATTTTTACTAGTTCAGCGACATCAGAGCAAGGGCCCTGCCGTTCCCATTCCCATTACCATCGCCTGTGCGTCACTGTGCCACGGCTGTCGTCTGTGGAGCATCGGAACATCATTTGGCCACATCCCATATGTTAATTGACACTAACAATTTGTTTCATAAAGACACACAAGCCATCGAATCCCCAGGTTCTACACGGTCCAGCCAAAATTACCATACATAGGTGGGTATCGGGTTGTGTGGCGATGCCCGTGGTGGTGCCTGGACCCTGGCGAAAGCCTCAGCCAAATGCAAAACGATAATTGGAAACAGGTTATATTTCTATTGAAGAATTAGCTGGCTGCCTTTGTGCCAAACCGAACCAGAGATTTACGACGAGTGGTGACTGGTTGTCTCCGCCGTGCGCTGGCTCATTTGTCTATGGTCTGTGGCCTGTGGCTGGGGACTGGGGACTGGGGTCTGGCCAAATAAAATTCGCGAGCTGCGACTCTTTCTTTTCCATCTCTGCCAGCTGGAGTTTTTCATTGGCCTGCCCCTCCGATAGCTATTTTACGAGTGCTTCTTCTGCGGCGCGACACGCTGGGTCAATGGACATGAACATGAACGCCAAGAAGTCTGCGCCCGCAGAGGCTATGGCTATGGCTCATCGATTCGCCTTGCCTGGTTTATCGAGTCACACGGCACGGCATACTCACTAATACACCGAATCTTAAATTATTCATATGCCAAGTTGAAGGCTGCTGCTGCTGGGTGTAAGCCCATTCGATTGCCAGATTAACTCCACTTGGAGATTGTCCGGGGATCAATTAAATCTAAGTAATAGCCGCTGAGATCCGAACCGGCTGAAAACGGAAATACTCGGAGCTTAATCAAGTGAAACATATTTATTGGTACGAGTATACGTATTTAACATTTGCGAACAAAAAATCGAACGAATTCAGTGAGTGAGTTGTGAGGGTGTCCAGCACTCTGCTCTACTCTGCTCTGCCATACAAAAGTACTCTGCTTCGAAGCCCTGGGATTATAACATTGTTAAATTCGTCTCAAATCCTAAATCTTAGATCTCAGATCCTCCTCTTTATTGTCTCTTCTTGCCTCTCTAGTCATACTATATCCTCTGGTTGCAGTCCTTAGCCTAACTATCGTTCAATCAGACTTTCTGTTGCTTTTCTTGGTTTCTGGGTTTCTTGTGGAAAGTATTTGGAAGGTGCTTTGGTTAACTCTTAAGTCGTCAGGTCGTAAAGGGCGCGAGTAGGTCCCACTCCATTTAGGCCGTGATCAGCCAGGTCCTCAAATAGACAAACGTTGAGGCTGCCACACGGGTTATCTGCTGCGCAAATGCTGCAAGAGAAGACGGGGAAAGAGCATAAAGCTTATTAGATATGCCAGCATAAAAAGAGATTTAACGAGTGAGTACTCAAATAAAGTTCCTGCCGACTGTCGACTGCCGACTGCCGACTGAGATGACTGCAGTGCTAATTTGCATTTACAGAATTGCTTTTATGCTAAACGAACCGCCTTGCCCCACCCCACCCCATGAGCCGCTCTGGGGTCGCAACCCTTAATGAAAATGCATCGTCTTCTTTCCAATACTCTTACTAAGCGGAGAAGTCGCGCTTCTTTGGGAATGGAATATGAATATATGTTACTTAGCGAGCTTACAACTTAAATGATACCGTATTGGTCCCTGAGGGATAGCCGATACAACAAGGGGTACAGGATACAACTGCTCGTCTGCTTCAAGAGTATGTTAGAGTCGGCCTGTGGAGGTCCATCAGCTCTCAGGTGGACTATGGCTCAGCACCCGGCTTATTACGAGCAACGACACTACGAGCCCTCGTAAAACCCAACCCTGAGCCCTGACAAATTGACAAATGGTCTTGGTCTTGGGTTCGGGAAGGGGAAAACTATGCTGGGCATTTGTGGGGCATCTTTCGTTTTAATATGCCTTGATTAATTTGCATTTTGGGGCCTGAAAGCAACCACCGGCAGGCATACGGAAGCAGCAGCGAGCTTACGGGCATAATTGTAAATTTATTTGCATCATAAATTAAGTTTTCTTCACTTGGGCCCCCGTCGCTTCGGCCGTAAATATGCGATTTTATTTGGTGTTTTTCATCTCGGTTTTTATTGATTCAATGTAACGCCAGTGTAGCCCGTAATTAGTAGTCGTCACTAAACCGAGAGTGATACTCGTAGAAGCTTCCTGAAACTGATGATGATTTCCAACTAACGGATTCCAACTAAAGATGCGGATGGATGACGTATGTACATATATTCACGAGACCCGCTTGATCGATGGTCTATGGATCGGGAGGTGGAAATAAAAACGGCTCGGCTCGGGTTTGTTTAGTACATGATACATGAGTTTTATTTGTTTGTATTTTTCTTATATTCATCTTGTACCGATATACAATATATTTCGTAATATAATTTCACTTAAATTTTGGTTTCTTTATGTTGCTTTAATGCTGGTTACACATTACATTTTTTTATTTTATTTTTTTTTTGTTTTTTCGTAGTTCCTTACTTTCTCTTGAGTTTAGCAATCGTATTACATTTAGCATTTAATTGTGTTGTCTTTTTTCTGGTTTCTGTTTTCTGTTTGGTTTCTTGGTTTAGCAGAATTTTGGTTTCGATTACGAGTATATGTAGTATAGTATGTATATATATATATATTCAGTAAAATGATCCCTACATTTTGTATGCTCATGTCATAATTTTCAATCCATATGTATATATATCTATTCATATACGGTAATATCTTAAACAGCAATTATACTTTGCATATGTATCTCTGTCAAATGCGCGGGCTCTGCATCTCATTGAATCCGCATCCGCATCTGCGTCCGCATCTGCTTTAGTTTAAAGTAAGTTCTGCGACAATAATAATTATAATTAAGTTTTTAACAACGTACTGACACAAAACATCGTGAACATCGTCAAATACTGGTACACATAATACGAGTAGAACTCTGTTTTTGTTCCGCTTTAGCTGTGTTCAGGTTGAGGCATACTAATGCGTCGGGTCGGTCGTCGTCGTCAAACGATATTCAAATTCAAAACAGAAGATGAGGACCAAACTCTGAGCTGAGCTGCCATTTTAGCCATTTAGCCATTTGGCCATCTGGCTGCGTGTGTGTCTGTGTGTGTGTTCAATTTTATGAGTCTCGATTTATTAATTTTTCGATCTGCTCTTGACTTTTGATCTTTTGCATGTTCAAAAGCAGTCGCATCTGTTATTTTTAGTTACTCTTCTTATACTTAGCTCTGTTTAGTGAGTGTGTCTGATGCTGATGCCAGCTCGGGATGGGTATTACATATTACTGGTGTGTGTGTGTGTATATATATTTGAAGGCAACTACAACTTGCGGTAAAAGCTAATCTCAGGAAATCATATTTACGAGTGTGTATATATATGGGATATGGTATATGGTCCGATGGGCTGTCAAATCAGAGAAGAGTCAACGCAAAATGCTTGGCATGGTTAAAAGCTAACAGCTTAATTAAAGTTGCTTTACTTATGCATGTAACAGATACTTTTGTTACAGATACTTTTACCTTTTACCTTTTAAGTTTTAGCTTTGTTTTATTACCACTAACAAGTAAGAACACATATTTAGCCACAATTTTTTTTGTTTCCCGCTTTCGGTTCGGTTCTGTTCGGTTCGGTTCTGTTCTGCCTGGTTTAGTGTTTGTGTTTGCTGCTTAATTTATACAAATTGCCTACTTAAAAAGTCATAAATCAGAGCCATACTTGCGCGCTGCACCCGCTTGTGTCGCTATCCACTATCCTCTATCCGTTATCTGCTATCCATAGTATATGTATATATAATTAAACTAAATAAACAATAGGCCATATATTGATATGTATTTGATTTTATACATAAAAAACTGTATTCAATTTGCTAAATCTTCCTCTAAGTTTATTTCTGTTTTTTTTTTTTTGTCTCTTATTTTAACGCTAAGTGTGAGAATTGGTTTGGTTTCAAATGCATTTCTGTGCCTGGTAATCTGGTATTTTGGTTTTACTCGTATCGTTTCTTATTATTCATAATACTCTTTCGGATTCTGCTTGGGCGTGGTTGTGGGTGTGGGTGTGGTTTGAGGGCGTGGCTTGTGGGTGTGGGCGACAGTTTATTGTATTGTTTTGTATTGTATTTTATTGTATTGTATAGCAATCAACATATTACATTGTACAGAGAGTTTGTCTACCACCTATATTCGATTTTATTATCAGATGTCGTAGCTGATATAATTTTTAACTTGTTCTTAATACACAACAAACAAAAAACTTGAACTATGTTTGGTTTTTGTATTAGTTTATGCCTATTTCTGTTGTTGTCTATACAAAACACAAACCCGATCCGATATCCTGCTCGGGTGCCTAATGTGTGCCGTATCTGATTAAAGACTGATCGTGTGTGTCTGTGTGTGTGACCAGCATGATTTCATTATTATCATAGATTGGAATACATAATTAGGGTGTGTGTGTGCGTGTGTGGGTGTGTGTGTGCTTCCGTTTCCGTTTTATATACTCGTATAAATTCTTTTACAATTGGCAGACTACTACAGCAAAAGCACACTGCGACGTGTTCGTGTGTTTGTGTGTGTATTGTATGTGTGTGTGTGTATAGGTACTATGTATGTACACTATATAGATGGCTTGGAAGAACCGCAACGAAGAGTACAAACTGTGTAAATCATACAAAGTGGCATACGAGTGGTGCGCCTCTGCGGAATGTCCATATTTCCAGGTCCATATATAAAAATTTAGATCTATAAGCATAACACTTGGAATTTTGTCTTTCATTCGTTTGCTCCTTTGCTTCTAAGGCGAAATATTATATTGTCAATTCTTTGGCTTGAGCCGAAAACCATGCAAAATGACAAAAAAATATTCCTAACTTCGGGTGAGGCGAAAGGAATGGAAAAATGTTTTTCGATTGAGATAACGATAACGATAACGATAACATAGTCGTGGAATGAACTCTCGTGCATTCAATAGGTTTCTCTTGTTTCTCTTGTCAAAGGCAGAAGGCATAATACACACTAAATTCATATCTTTCGCTTACTACTCATTAACCCTAGGTCTGGGCCCGAGTGGGCCCAAAGCCAATGCTGCCGCTTGGGCCCCGCTCCCAGCCGGCCTGGAGGTTGGCCGAAATGGGGGCGGCCCGGGCAGCCTTGGCCTTGCCGGAGGCCCTGGCCCTCCGAACAGGGCCCACTCCTCGCTACAAAATGGATTAACTATCAAAGTCTAGTCTTGGGTTTTTTAATCATTTACTTTTTGGTTTTAGTTTTTGTTTTTTGTTTTTTTTTTACTTTGTTTTGAGGCGAACATGGTGCAATCATTGGGAAGGTTGGGGTACTGAGGGAAGAGGGATTAAAGCTAGTTTCTTTGGAGTTTGTTCACATTTTTATTCGGGGACTTAAACAGTCCCCCAGTTTTAGACAAAGTTTTCTTTTAGTAAAAAAAGTTAAAGTTAATCCTCGTTCATTCTTTGTTAATATTTTTAATGCAATTTCGGTTTTGTTTTCATATTCATATTCATATTCGTTTTCGTCTCTCTTCTTGCATGGTATAAAAATATAAATGTCCACATTTACTCGTACTTAAAAAATCCCTTTGTTTAAGTTTTGTCCTCATAATAAAGTGTCGCATTTGCTTCGTTTTTTGTGGGCCTGGGCTGTCATTTCTTTATGAAGTATTTAAAGTAGATTGTAACTTAGGAATGCCTGGTGGCCTGTGGATCTGCTCACTCCCATTCCCATTCCCATGCCGATTCTCCTTCGATTCAATGGAACTACAATTCGTTTTTTTTCGTTTTCGCGGTGCACTTGTTGCATAACTATTTGGAGAGTTCTGAAGTAAGTGGTGGCTATCGGTGCTAGCATTGGGTGTCGAGTAGTATCGGAGGCAAATAGAACAGAGACGGAATGGCAGGCATTTTCCGATCAAAGGCGGCCTGCCATTGACCTGCCACTGACCTGCCACTGACCTGCCGTTGACCTACAGCCTACAGTGTCCTAAGTGTCATTAAGTTTTCGTAGTGGCTACAGTGGAAAGCGAACATCGCTCAAATAGGACTCGACAACAATTCTTCCTAATACAACACAACATTATCATTTCATTTGGGTTTCGCTTTTTAGACTTTAGTTTTTGTATAGTTTTTTTTGTTTGTTCATTGGTTTTAAATTGGTTTTAAAACGTTTAAATGTTAGCAGACAGTTAATGTTACATTAGTCGTGCCGCTGCTGTTCTGTTCTTCATAAGTCTAATACTTGCTGATCTATGTATTATCAGATAGGGTGTGGTATTATAATAATAGTTGATAAAAATAGCTTAATTAATATCAGTGTGGCTTACCTTAGTTAATTTCGAAAGGTTTTCGTTTTCGTTTCATAGTTAATACATATTGATATGCCTTTAATACGATTACAGATTACAGATTACGATTACGATTACAGATTACAGATTACAGATTACATTTACGATTACGATTACGGTTTGCTCATTAGTCTGCGACACACACTGAACTCTAGGGTTTGACAATGATCTATCATTTTTCTTGATTTACTTTTGAACAATATTTATTTATAGATACGAGTATAGACATACCAAGTACACTGTTTCTCATTATACATTATTGATCATTATACATTATACAATAAATTTGTTTTTGTTTACTCATTGATCCAATTTCACTAAGTGTATAAAATTTCTAATTACCATTACTATCCAATCATATCATTTATTTTGTATCTCTCAATTTTCAATATTCAATTTTTCCTCTTCACCGGTTGTCACTAAGCCAATTTGTAAAACGTTTAGTACAAATACAATATTCCGTGTATATATATTTTGTTTGTATGTATATGTATATATATATATATAATATACTGATATGTTTTGCCATATAAATATTTCCTCTATCCCGCCCTAAGCTAAACTTCCTTTTGTGATCGATTCTTTATTACAATTTATCAATTTATCAATTTGCTTTTGCCTTTGCTTTTGCTTTGGTTTTGTTTATTTTTGCAAAAAATTTGTTTGGGTTGTGCTGGACTTGGGTCTCATTTATATCTCTATCTCATCCATCTTATCTATCCATTAATTTCGTTTTCTTTTCCATTTTCCTTTTCTTTTCTTCCGATAAACCAACGCCAATCGTTTGTACAATACAAATGTGTTTTCTTTTCGTTTTTGTTTGGTTTTGTTTGATTTTCCAAAAATTTCCACTTGGTTGTTCTCATAAGAATCTTGGGTGCTTACAATTTGTGTGGTTTCCCTGGGAAAGCAAATCGAAATCAAGTGACCAAGTGACCCCCCTCAACCTAATATGAAACCAATGCAATTTGGCCAAATATCGTTAGGCGACAAGGACTCCTCCGAACTGAAAGCAAAAATTGTGCCATTAAATGCGCTCAAGATGGGTGTGGGCGTGGTGGCTGTGCTCGCACGCCCTCTGGCAAAAAGTGTCTGGTTTTGTCTGTCGAACGGGCGAATGGAATGGAATTCCTGTGTCCAGTCTATGTAAACATATTCAGGCTGCCCCGAGGGCAGGACAAACATTTTCAATTATCAAAAGTTCTGTTTGGAGACTGGCTACTGGCTACTGGCTACTGGCTACTGTCTCCGTCTCCGTCTCTGGGCCAGGTTCCTACAAATCAAGCAATTTAGCGTCAGCGTCGTACTACACAAAAACAATTTGGGTGTCTCCCGGTCTGGAGAGCAGCCAGATTTCCACTCGGCAGACTCTCGTGTGATATGCAATATTTAGCTGGCTTCTTCTGGGGGGTGCAGAGAGCTCTAATTTCCTTCTTTTTTTTGTTCAATTTACAAAGGTTCAGCAATCGCCATTTAATGTTATCCTTGGATCGGCGCTAACCGATTCTACTAGGTTTTCTCTTCATCCGTTAACAAATTTGCTGCACAATCTGCGTTTCCGGGTGCTATTCGTACTTTTACATAAACATTTTCGGGTTTTCTTCCGCTTGCTAAATTTTTATTAATATATGTGTTTTAATTTTAGGTGTGTGTGGTGTGTGTGTTGTGTGTGTGTGGGTGTGATTTCGTGTGTATTCGTGTGATTGGGTACTGCCCGAAATGGTTTTCTTTTAGAAAACTCCTTTGGTTCTCAAGGCGGCACCGATGTAGAGCAGTCCAGCCAGCAACAGGAGCTGCAGCCTGGGGGATATGGAAGCACTTCCCGAGTCGCCATCGCAACCTGTACCTGCCAACAGAGGAGGGAGAAATGAGTTTAAATCTGTTCGGGTCTCAGGCTGGGGTCGTTCAATGATTGGAATCAGATGGGCAAAATGTAAGAGTATGTGAAAGGAGTCGCCTCGCCATGATCTTCGCTCCTACATCAGCTGATAAAATTTGTGGCACTACTTCTGCATCCGATCAAAAGCCTACAGTACAAGCCAAATACAGATACGAGTATGCATATAGTATATAGATATATCTTGATATATTGAAAAAGCAGTTGGTTTTAGTGCGATTTTTGGTGCATTAGAAACGAAACGAAAGGAAAGGAAACTTAGGATAACTTCACGCGAACTTACCTTGACCAAAACTCCTACAAAACGGTCTGCTCTGCTTTGCCATATTTTTTTTTAATATCGTTAGACAAACAGATGTGTATTCTGTCAAAAGTTGTGTGCTAATTCATTCGAAAGTTGTTTGGCCACAACAACTCGGATACATATTAGTGTATGTATGCGTATACGTATACGTATACCCCGGCATACTCTTATAATACAGCAACACCTTCACCTGATCGGAGGGATCGGATTTCAGCCGGCCGGCAAGTGTCTTCTGCAGCACGTACACACACACACAATACATATGCATGTATATGTGTAAGAGTACGGAACACTCGTAAATGCCGGGGATGACTTGCTCAACGACTTAATTTATAATCCTCACCTTGGTGGGCAAAACGAGGTGCAAGTGTGCAAAGAGTCTTAAAATTAACGAAAGCAAAGCAAAATCAAATCAATTTCGAAATCAATCTTCCGCCAGTTGGGCCATAAATTTGTGTATATAATGTCCAAATTGATCATATTTCTTGAGCTCGTCTCCGTCCCTCTCTCTCGCTGCGACGCGTGCATTTAATTTTGCTAATTTGAATTTAAAAGGCTGAACAAACCATAGATTATACGCTCAGAAAATAAAAAAAAATAAATTGGCACAACATCAGCGCAAACAGTCTGTACGAATTAAACCACATCGAACATTTGAAACACGTGTCGTTAAACGCACACAACACCAGCAACACCAACTCCATCCACTCCATCCACTCAACCCAAAACGAAACGAAACGGAACGAATCGAATCGAAACCGCAGCCAAGAGAAAAGGCTAACCAACACGGGCCATACAAATTCAAAAAGATATTGTATCTACAGCGTTTTGTATCTCTACTCGAGCACGCGTGCGCCTGAGTTATGACATGGCAATCGCTTATTTATCTCAGTCTCCCCCCCCCCCCAGATCCGATCCAGACCCAGCTGGTGACATTTCGACGTAGTACGGCGGTGCCAGCGTGTCTGGTATCACATCAGGACGAGCGACCAGTTCCCATTGTATAAGATTAATACAAACTAGATCGGTGAGCGGCGATGGGCGACCGGCGATCGGCGATCGGCGGTTTCTGGGGGCTTCGGGTGAAATTTTAAATGGCCATTAAGGCAAATGGGAAGCATTGTTGGCAAGCGCTTTGACCATAAAGAATAAACCGCTACATATAGAGATGCAAATTAATTAATTTGCCAAATCCAGAACCGGTTCGGGACCTGGGTTTGCGGTTAGAGCTCTGCTAGAAACGGGGACGCGACGCGGGAGACGCTCCCCCTCTCTCTACACTTCTGGGGAGTGCTAAGTGGAAACTTTTACTTCAGCCAGATCAAAAGTGGAGCTTGTCATATCCGAAAGGCCGTCCCGGGCCGAATGATCGATGGGAGAGATATTTGAAGTAAGCGCTTGCACCAGCCCCTGCGCCCTGCTCCCTCTCCCTCGCCCTCGCCCTCGCCTTAGCCAGGGATCATTTGCATACCCGTTCGCTGGATCAATCGATCGGATTTATGTAAAACCAAAATTAGCTTTAAAACCAATACAAGCAAAAACCAAATACAACACAGCAAATTAACATAAATTAAGTTTTTATTAATTGGTGAGCTAGTAATTTTCTTTTGTGGCTGTGCTCTCCGCTTCGCCAACCACCAAGCGTCATCCACTGATGCCGGTCCGGACCAGACATTGTGGCGCGCTCCAATACGATTGTGATCTTTCTCCCAAAACCCAAAGACCGTCCAACTGTCCACTCATTTTAATGGGCCCCAAGCTTTTACAAACTTAAGTGCAAACATAAAATCGGACGCCCACCCTCTCTCTCTGCATACATAAGTATATACTTCGAGTAGACTTCGAGCAGGGGACTTATCATTGATCACTGTCAGTGGCATATGCATATTCACATTTCTTTCTCGGTCAGTCGTCCGATCTGTCTGGAAGCTCATTTCCCTGATTGATGCGCACATTTTGGGAGTCTGACAGCGCCGTAAATAAAAGCCTCGGACTCCGAGCTGCGACGAATGCTGCTGCGCATAAATGTCATAAATTAAAAGCATAACTATTAAATCTTTCACCGGAATAAGGCTGGAAACAGTCGAGCCGAGACTCTGACTCACGACTGCCACTAAGTCGAAGGGAATAAATCTTGGTAACTGTATCGCAGCTTGGTCTGGTTAATCATCAGTCTTTTGAATGAATGTTGCAATCGGCTTACGGATTGTCATGCTAATTGGCACGCCTCGTCGGACCGCGTTCAAAGAAAGCTGAGCGTGAAGTAGGATAGTCGGTACTGGACATTATCAGCGATGCATTGCGATGAATAACCGATGTCCATTTCATATTTTAATGTTTCGGCTGACCACAGTGAACTCCAGGCGGAGAACATCATCCGAGCTCGTTTTGAGACGCTCGCGTTGAGGTGTGGCACTGTCAGACGCCGACAGCCATTAGCGGGCTTAATGCCACTTTTTTACGATATATCGTGGCGAATACGAAATTTATGTTAATGGTATGGCAAACTTACACAAAACGAAAACAGCACAACGCAACACAAAAAGAACACCGAACAGAAACAGAAGTAGAAGTAGAAGTAGAAACCGCCGATGACTGTACTTTCTTTCAATTGGATTTCTGTGTGCCCATCTATTCAACCGTCCCATCAATCCGGTGGGATCCATAAGGTCGCCCACTCACCTGCCCAACTCCTGACTTTCGGTAAGTAATCGTTCCAGAAGGAACAGCGGGCCGCCAAGGGGCCGCGTGCCAGTTTCTCGATCTTGTCATCCGTGCTGAATATGTAGTAGACGGGATCCTCCTTGGAGAAGTTTGGCCACTCCTCGCCATCTTGGGCGGGGTTGCTGCAAGGAGAGCTTTCATTATAGCGAGCTGAACTGGTTGTGGCACTCGCTGAGCCGACGCTGCCATAAAGCAGACGAAAGCTAAGTGAGCTTTCGGGGAAAAGCTCGTGCTATACTCACCCGGACTTGGCAAACTCGATGACCGCACTGAGCATACGCTTGCCCAGCTCGCGCTCCACAGGTCGATACTGCAGAGAGTTGTTCAGCGGCTGGCCGAAGAAGTACTCAATCTCGTCGCCGTGCATCACGCCCATCCACTCGCCCCACAGCGAGGTGCTTGAGCGCTGGAAAAGAGGGAAAAAAGAAAGGAAACGTAAGGAAAAACTCGTACCCAAAGAGAGAGAGCTACGCCAGCTCGACAGTTTCCCGGCTACCCAGTTTGCCACTGCCGTCGTAAACTCGGCCAGAAATTATGCAGATAAACATCTACCCTTTTTATTTATTTATTTGATTTTGCTCCGCTCGCTGGCTGCCGACTGTTGGCTGCTGGCTCGCGCTGCCTGCAAATGGCAAATATTGTCGCAGCATGCCGCGCGGAGAGGCGCCGCGGAAAAACCGAACGAATGAATAAATAAATAAATGCCTGGTCGACTGGCAGTCAGCTGGAGCTCCAAGCCCTGTCGCCCTTGACAGGACACGGCAGGAAAGGCCCCGCGTACTCGCCTGTTTACTCGTACGTATCGTACATATCGCGCAGCGGTCCTGGTTGCAATTGCATTTGCCGAGTAGGGAGTGCCCCAGCATCACGTAAATGCGGCGTGTGCATAAGGACTGGTCCAGCATTGCGTATTTGTCCCATTGGGACAGGTCCCTTAATAGTCCAGAGCTGACGCGACAACATTGGCAATTATACCGCACACGCAAATGATGATTTGCATGTGTTCCTCTTTCATGCGAATGAGGCTGAGACAGCTTTATTACATTCACGTTAAAATAACACTTTCTACCTACGGCTAGATTAACCCAACAAGTTCCTTTTTTACTAGCTTGACTAATTAAGCTTGATAATTAAGCCTTATATAACAATTTATGGAGTATGTACGAGCGGAATTGTATAATACACAATCCGTATTCTAAGATGGAAGGATGAATCTAGCCATGCACGATTTGAATCAGCGACAGTAAATAATGATTCTATTTTATTTGTTAGCCGAAAAGAGATCTGATTTCGATAGCCGCACAGCAGAATTATATATACCAATGAAATACTCTAAGGACAATCCATCTATCCACATTAACAAAATTTGGAATTTTACATTTTAAGGAAATTCCAAGGTGATATTCATTTGGGAAAGCCCCCTGCCTACAAGTGCACAAGATGGGCCGCGATTTATCAAGAATTTACGGTCAGAAAGTAAAATAAAGCCGACCAAAAATAAAATATCGGGCAATGACATTTATCATCACTTTCGGATGAGCGGAATATTCCACATTTGGCTCGTACTCAATACTCGATGTGTTCGTTGGCGTTGTCTGCCAATTTCTCTGTGAGTTTTTCTTTTTTCATTTCGTTCGTCTCGGGCCTCTTGTGATTGAGAGTCCAGTCATTGTGGCATGCTCACACGCACATTTTCGTTATCATGTTGGATTCGTTTGTCTGTTCTTTCTGCCCTACCATTTCGCATGTTTCTTGCTTTGTTCGTTTGATGGCCCAATGGCAATATTTTGTAACACACTGGACCAACTGGACCAAATTGCTGTTCTTACTAATGATCCGGTATGCGGACCTTTCACAGTCACAAAGCACGTAACACACATACATAAATACATAGATTGTATTGTATTGATTATGTTACATTTTATATGAGATATTTGGATATTGTTCATACAAAAACACTAAGGTCCCGATGAAAAAGTTAGGAAGGAAAGGAAATAGTTGGTAAACTATTCGCATACATGCTAAATATGTATGACATTAATATCGGTCTAGTCGTTTGGGAGGAGTTTTATAATGAAAGTTGAGATTTTTAACCATATTTACATAAAAATAATTCAGTCAGAAATCGATGTTTCTCGCTGTTGTTAAATTGTTTCCGACTGCCAACTAAGCCCTTGATAAATGCTAATTAGGTAATGTACATTGAAAACTTCAGTCTCTTGTACAGCAAAGCATAAAACAGCCCAATGAGATTCACTTGACCGTAAGTCTATTCCGTCAGACCGGGGTGTACCACTTAGCCCTTCAGCCCAAGTTGGCCGCAATCGGGCTTTGCATGAGCTGCACCTTGACAGGCTGGCAGCCAAGTGGCCATCGCCGGAGCTGCCAAGTCGCATAATGAATAGTGTCCGGGATCTGGCAAGGGTAATTCTGGTAATGTGGAACCGTTGCCGGGCTGTAGTGCGCTGCTGATGTTGCTGCCAAGTTGTTGGAAATTTATGCGACTTGGCCGTTGGCTGTCGGGACACACGTCTCCACATGCATATATAAGTTGTACAGTACTCCTGCTCCTGCTCACGCCTTTCGCCTTGCGCCTTTTCGCACAAATAATGAAAAACTGTACGCAGCCATAGCAGAAAATAAACTTTTTTGATTTAAGCGCAAAATTGCAAACAGCAGAGAAACTTGGACTCTGAGGTCATAATGGGAAACGCCACGGTCGAGTCTAGTTGAGTGGAGTCGCAGTCGCAGTCCGAGGCGAGAAGGCGAGGAGGGAAGTGAAGTGAAGCGGTGGAGAATGGAGTAGGGAGGAGTGGAATATGAAAACTTATTTAAGTGCCAGGCACGTTGCACGCTGCAGTAGTCAAGAGAACTCGGAGCAGAGGAGGACCAGGAACAGGAGCAGCAGAGGAGCAGTGGCTGGTCAGTCAAGCATGTTGGGGGCCCCAGTGGCAACCAAGCAGAGAGACAATCTGGCAGGCACTTTAGCAGCTGGCGACCCCATTTGCCATGCTTCGTCGCCCCATCGTGGCCCCGTCACTCTTATTGGACCCGGGCTCGACCCGGCCCGGACCGGACCGGCCCGGCTCCTCCTTCTTCGTCTCGTTTATGGGCAAAGTGAGTTACGAGTTTTGTTGCGGCAACTTGACGGTTGTAATTAAAACTAATTTCATTTGCTTTCATTTCCATTTAGGAGCCAGCTCCTGACTGCCAACTGCTGCTGCCGTAACCAGTCCAACTGTCTCTGGGCTTGGCGCTGTCCCTGTCGCCGGAGCTGCCCCTGATTCAGCCAATGGATTATTAACAGCCGATTGGATTTAAACAATGCATCGACATTGACCCGTCGACCGTCGCACCCTGCACCAATCAGTACGCATTATTGTGATATCAATTGGAAAGAGCAGCGGGTCAACAGCCAGAAGTGTGGCACACGGCGTATGAGTAATATTGCCTGATTTTGGGAGCCAAATTTTCAGTAAAATTACCATTTATCACCAATCAATATCGACTACAATTCCTAATTATATTCATACATACTCGCATACGAGTAGATATACATATTTCTATTCAGACTTCAGGTAAACGCACAGAAATCAATACGTCCACGCTGCGTATACGCGCTGTGAGGATTGCGTATTGGTTAATCATTAGGCCGATTCAGGTTTATTCTGTTCTGTTCCTATCAATCGGGAATCGGCAATCGACAGACGACGGTCGGTAGTAGAAACCGCAGCCAAAGTCGTTTAAACAAATAACTGAGGGAAATTATGCCCCACACGTGCAGGCCATGCGGGCCGTGACCTCGTAAATTGAAGTTTCATTAGTCGATTCTGACTCTGCCCCTGAATCCTCTTCGTCCACCACCCCCTCACCTAGCGCTGCGCGGCCCGAGTGGGTCGTGATCCGGTAAGGATTGCTACTGCTCCTGCTCCTGTGCCCCCTAAGTTGTTGTTTCTGGTTCTTGCCACTGTCTCGCCCCAGAGCTCCTTCTTGGCAGGCAGTGCGTGTAGTTTAATTGGCGCTGTGCGACCGAGTGTATGAGTGTGTGCCTGGTGCCAGGTGCCAGGGGTGGGGGTGTGGGTGTAGCATGTGAGTGCTGTTTATTCGTTTGTGGGTGTGTATTGCGTGAAACTTTTGGTTACCATAATTATGGCGGCCAAGGTTGCCTGCCAGCACCGCCCCAGCAACGATGAAACGACTATGAAACAACAGCGAAAACGACGACAACACGACCCTTGCCCCGGATGGGTGGCACTGGGACACTATGAAGTCCAATCAAATGGTTTGCACGCGTTCTAGCTGTCTTCAACAAATTGCTTGATTAATTGAAAAAGCCGCACGGACAGGTGGCATGCCGTGGCAGAGCAGCCGTTGCAATCGGAGCACGCGCTGTCCACAGTGGCCATATCACACGGCAATATCTTCATCAACTGGCGGTGATTTTTCAATCATGACAATCACACAAAATACTGTAATTTAAGGGTAAATACATATATGTACGTACACTCGTAGATTGCAGTATTATCGCAATCGAAGAGCTTGACGGATTAAGTGGATAATACAATTGTTACCAACGGAAAACCGCATCACGGCTCGAGTCCAAGACACGAAATATTAATTTATGGATCATTAGCTCTTTTTTTGTTATTTGTTATGTGGGTACCAAAAAATTTCCTAGAAGACTTATGATACGGAAAAAGGCTTGGGAAGTCGTGAATAATCTTTTGGAGAAAATAATTGTAGTTCCTTCTAATATTTTTCCAGCTTACTCGTCTATAAAGGGCATTTATCTCTAATATAGGCTCTACGACGAAGATATGAAATGAAGATACCATCGTTAACAGTATGCCTGAACATTCCCATTTATTCTTTAAAGTTTTTTAAATCCCCAAATGTATCAGAAAAAGTCAGTTTGGTGCTGGGACTAAAAATGCTGTGTCATAGTGTAGTTTGTAGCCATAAAGTTAACAGTTTACTTTAGTTTTAAACGAGCCACAAGATACGGAATAAATCAACCTTTAAAGTTAAACTTTAACATTACGCGGCAAAGGTTCCAGAACTTTTGCTCAAACAATTTACAATAATTATAGGGGCCATAAATAACACTGATTGGATTGTCTTAGCTCGAGCTATTCTTGGCGGAGGCACACACTCATCTGTGACATGCACCTGACCCCATTCCGGCTAGAAAACTTTCGCTTTCAGTTGTGTTCTGCAGATTAGCCGCAAGCTCTGCTCTTACGTGGCCCCCGGCGCCACTCAGGATCCCGGCATAGCCTGCCCATCAGCCCGACATTAATAATTAAGGCAGACACAGTCACGTTGACATTTTCCGCTGCCGCCGCCGCTGCGTTGGCTACTGCGGCATGCCCTGTAGTCGCATTCGTATTCGTATCTGCTGCGGGAGGATTCCGCTCCGCTCCGGCCGGTCTCCGGTCTCTGGCCGCCATTAGCCTTGTGTGCAATTTTAATGACAAACAAATTGCAGTTGCCAGCCTTTCCTCCGGTCTCGCATGCATTTTTGCTTTCGCGCCACTTGCGCCCCATTTGACCGCATTTCGATTGGACGCACGCGCTTCAACGCCATCTTACGTGTCAGAGCCTGAGAAATATTTAATGATTTGCCGGCAGTGGACGGTGGAACGTGAACGGACAAAAAGCGAGTACGTATACGTAATATAATCACTGTGTAATGCAGTTCTGGATCTCTACAGTATATTTTCGCTTGAAACTCTTTAACCATTCTATAGGTAATCCCCTTAAATCCCCTTTACTCACATGTTTAAAGAAGTAGTAGTGCACAGAGGCGCCTCGCTCGGCCAGCGCCTGGGCATACTCGTTGGTGGGGCAGGTGAAGAAGTGATCGCCCACGGCGTGTCCAATTTGCTGCTGATTCTGATAGCCCGGATTGCCCTCCCAGCTGGTGTACTGTGAACGGAGAGAGGGGGAGAGAGAGAGAGAGAGAGGAGAGATTAAAATGCAGCCCGAAGGAGGTGGCCCCAACTCAATCATGGCCATTATGTAAGGCTGTTAAGCTGTCTGTTTAGTCGACTTCCGCTCGATTAATCTCGACTCTAGGCACTCCTGCAGGGCTGCTAATCCTGGAGCTGTCAAATCCATATCTACAAGTGACGCATGGAACTGCAAAACGAGCTTTTCTGGCGACAGGACAAACTAAATGAATAAAGCCCCTGAATGCAGTTCAATCAGGCTTCCGACGTTGCTTGCATGTGGCAGGCGCGTGTTGCAACATGCGACGCAGTCTGCAGTTGTCATCAAACCAGCCCCTCCCCGTCCGATGAACGAATGCAGTTGTCGGGTGCATTCATAGGTGCGCCATTGCCTCTTGTGGCATGCACTCTTACCTGGAATATGATGGCCTCTCGCTCCGCCTGTGTTGCTTTGCCGAAAATGTTGTTCATAATCTCCAGATACTTGTCGCGCGGCAGGGCGGTGGCATCGTCCTTATCGAAGTAATCGATGAAATCGTACAGCAAGAAGTAGGTACCTGCAACGAGAACGGGATGCTAGTGAGCAAAGCGAGGTCATGCCGCCACAATGTGCAGGATGAGGACTACGATGAGTGGATTGGGGGGGTGGGGCGCTGTTACTGCCACTGGTAGTCGGACTGGAGCTCGACGAGGGTCTGCTGGCGAATCCTAAAAAACAATTACCACTGCAGGCCGCTGAGGGCGGCGCTTCAAGATTCCGACTCACAATAGACGGGTCGTGCCAAGGACGTTGAGAGCAACATTAACCCCACGACCTGCCAGCAGCAACAACAGCAATCGCAACCGCTGCACAAGCCACAAGCGGGGCGGCTGGCATGGCATGGGATGGGAAGGCAGAAGTACGAGTATGAAGCAAAAACAAAAGCAAAAAACAGTAAAAACAAGAGCAAAATAGAATAGGCAAACACTCACACGCTCAGAGAAACGACAACAGAAACTAGCCAGGACCGCAGCTAGGCCGAGAACAAAGCGGCTCCTTGCTGCCTTTTATTAACTTAATTTTTATGGCACTTGTTGTTGCCGCTCTCCACCTCTCGTCAGGCCTTGTCTTTGTGGCACACTTCAAATACGAACACACTAACGAACCATAATTGCTGCCTCCCACAAAACTCGTTCATGTAGCAACAGCAACACAGCAGCAGACTGTGTGTGTGCATGTGTGTGCTTGTATCTGTGTGAACTGACGCCACCACACGGGCCACGCCACCCATTGCCGAATCATTTTGCTGGCTCTATGTGTTGATGTTTGCCGGGATTCAAATAAAGCCCAAAAATTATGCAAAGCCATGAACATGACGGTTTCATTCGAATTTCCAAGCATCTAGCCAAATCTGGCCCAAAATATCCCCAAGTCACGTCCAAAATTGTGGCATTGCATGCACTAGTTTCTCGAGGCAAGTCTTTCATCAACCGGGAATATTTGCATAGGATTGAAGGATTCTCTGGTTGCCGCCAAGAGTTGGTAAGTACGACAGTAATTTTGATATTACGAATCATTTCGAATCAACCAGTTGCTGATTATATTTTTTTATCTAAAACTCCGAGAACTGCTGTACTGTGGCGTGGCATCAAGCGTACGCTTTTAATTAAATTGCCAGAAACACACACTCTGTGGCCACAAATGTTTCGGCTTTCTGCGGCTACTTCCCGGTCTCCCCAAACGAGCGCCCTCGAACACACACAGAGCCATGTAAATATGCTTTTAATGAGTGTATAATTGAGTTAGAGGCACCAACAGGAACAGGACCAGAAACGGAAACGGAAACATCGAGCTGATTCGATGGAGCACTGGCCAGGCCCGAGGCAGAACGCGGAGCAATTAGCAGGCAAACAAGCCATGGCTGGCAGAGACATTCGCTCACCCACCAGCCCGAGCCCACCCCGAGCCCACTCGAGAAGAAGCAACCAAATTTAAATTATTTAAACACCAAGAATTCGTCGCCCTGCAATGGCTAAATAATTCATGGAATTCTCGTACTTCTGACCTACACTAGATTGAACGGCAAATGCAAAGGAATTGCTTGGAAATTTGGAACCTGAACTTGTAGTTCAATCAATATTAAAGTGTCAGCTAAAAGAAGGAAGACTTTGCTTTCTTGTGAAGAGCAGCAATTGCAATGGTGGGTACTTCGAATCAGACTTTTATTAATTATGACAATTAGACAAATATTAAAATACAGATCTTTCCAAAAAAAAATAGATAAATAAATAAATCAAAAATATAAATGGCGGAAATAAATATAATAAAATTAAATATATTAAATGCTAATACGGGTTACAAATTATAGTTGGATGTAGATCTGTATTGGGAAATGTCGCAAATTTATTGCTTAGAATCCATAGATTACATTTAGATTACGTGTACTCAATGTACATGGATAATATTTTATATTGAAATTAAAAACCAGGTGCTTTTTCGGCGATTCTGGTCGGGAGAGATGGTATCGTGGGGCGGGCAGCTCTGCGGCTTTGGCTGATGTTCCTCACCTATCTATGGGCCTACCCTGCCATCAGCTGAGCTGCCCTATTCCCTGTTTGTATCCCCATCCAATATGAATTAATAAATAATTGCGACAAAATTAAGCTTTAAAGAAAAGGAAAAATAAGTAGATCTGATGCCCATATTGAAAATTATAACACAATTTTTTTTTATATTTTAAATTAAAAAATCTTAGTAATTTTCCCAAACTTCCTTAGTGGAATATATGTTTATTCGGGTTTCTTTCAGGCCAATACAAGTAAATTTAGCTAAGCAAATATTTTATTTAGAATAAAAATTAAGGACATACACACCACAGATACACGTACATGTATGTACATGTGGAAGTAACTGTGAAGGGACGAAGGACGAAGGGCGAGCAACCGAATTTGTCAAACAAAAACAGAAAAGGATGCTTTCATGTGCGCGGCACATCGCAATGTATTTGAGTTTGTATTCGTATTCGTATTCGTATTGTTGCAAATGCTAGATGACCTTGAACTCACAAACACTCCCAAACCAAACACACACACACACACACACACACATACACACAGTCAAGCAGCACACGCTCACACAAACAGCGAGGCTCGGTATACCTCGTCGTGGCAGTCGCCTGGCGGGCACGCACGCACACCTTGGCCAAGAGAACAGCGGAGAAACAGGCAACAAACGCCACTGCTGACTACGAATAAAAATGTAAGCTGCAACAGGAATAGAAAGAGAGAGGGAGAGAGAGAGAGCGCGACAGAGAGAGGGCAATAACAGCAGCTGTGAGCAATGAGTGAAAGTGAGCAGAAAGCACACGCGTCTGCTGGCAAGGCGGCGACGGCGACGGCGACGGCAACAAGAAATCGAAAGCGGGCCAAAAGCACGAGGCAAAGCCACGGCACAAAAGCCCCCGAGAATCTTCTTCAATCTGTTATACGAACAACAAAAGCAACATACAAACACCCACCCACCCACTCCCTCGTCCTGCGGCGGCTCGCGAAATAATAAGAAAGGAAAACGCAAACCGAAAACTTGTTCCAAGTGCGCCATTTTCTGACCTGGGACGAAAAGCAGCAGCAGTCCCCCCCAATGCCCCGTACAGAAAATATATATCGTATGTATAAAGAAGAGTTGCCATCTTTATCCGACATTTACTTATATTTCCAGCTTAAACTGAGTTTAGTTAGAGCCAAACGTAGGTCTAAATATCCTCGGTGCACTCGAAAAAAGAGCATGCGATTGCCGATTGCGATCTTTAAAGTGTATGCTGCCTGTAGGGAATGCCTTTAAATATTGAAATATTATGCATATAATACTATGTACAATAGTTTATTACTTCTGCTCTTCCGCAAGGGTCAAATAATTACAGCCAAACTTTAAGTCTGGTTGAAATAGCACTCGGAGCTTCCACAACCCACCACCCCCTCAACCATAATAATGCGGCCCTGGACGTGGACGTAGCCCCCACTCTAGACGACAATGCTGCGGCACGTGTGGCACTCACGCGTCCCGTTCCGCCCATCAAGATGAGGGCTCGCTTTTTGCTACCTGCTGCTTTCTGCTTGCCACCAGCCCCAGCCAGGCCCCCTGTCACCTGAACGAAATATATTTAAATAATTTATGATGCCGTCCTGCACAGCTGAGCGCCCTCCTCCCCCTCTCCGACGAACCCCGGACTGTGTGTGGGTGAGTGTGTATCTGTGACCGAGTGGGTTTGTGCGTGCCTTGCTCGATGGTTTTTTTTCCCGGGGACGCCGCCATTTGCGTGGGCGAGTCTGGCGAGTTCAGCTCCCGGCAGGTCTTGGTCTGGGTCGGGGTCTGCCCTCGTGCTGTATTGAGGCACACGACCAACGACTCTGGTGCGTTGACACGCACCGCAATCGGAGTTTAAAGTTTGTGCAATTCGTTTGCGGCGACAAAAGCCGCAAGAGCCAGAGTCAGAGCCATTTCCCAAAGCCAGAAGAGCCAGCAATGCAGCAACATTATACAAAGTGCAGTTTTGTGAGGGCAGCGGAGGGTGGGGCAACCACAGACGTGGCAGGAGCAGCATCAGAAGGACCAGCCGCAGCACCAGCAACGAACTAAGCGCCACCCCAGTGTCATGCAATAAACCATAAAAATTAAGCACTCGAGCCAACAGAAAGCAGCAAATGCATTACGAGCTGCGGCACTCAAAATGTACTGAGGACTGGAAAATTTCTGAAAGGAAAAGCAGTCGGGCTAAGCCGCAGCACACTTCGATGGTACGAGTATCCGAGTGTAGCCATGGAAACCCGTGTAACGACAAGAATAAAATGCATTTTGTCTGGCATTCAGGGAACAGCTATTGTAGCACCAGAAAATATATACATATATAGGTATATAGTATAAGGAAAGTGTAGTTGTAGTTGCACAAAAGTAATAAAATCACAAAAAGGATGAAGAGCGAGAGCGAGCTGCAGCAAAAAGTTTGCTGGCATCGGGTAGGGGATGGCAGGGGATAGGAAAGATGGCTTGGCAAACAACATTGGCAATGGGTAGTACTTTGTTTCGGATAAAGTTTAGCGCTGACGTCAGCCGCAGAGGATGCAACAATAGACGCAAGGATAACAGCGCCAGAGATAGATGAGAAAAAGAGTGGAAGAGTGGAAGAGCGGAGGACTAAAAGAGGGGCCGGATTGGATGTTGAACAAGAGCTGCTCTTGATGAAGTCGCGGCAAAAAGGAAATTGAAGCAAGTCTTTAGCCATCCTGAGAGATTCATTGCCTTAGGGGCTTCAGGAGCCCCAGGGGCCTCAGGGGATAGGGACAAGCAATGAGTTGAGACTTACCCTCATCCCTGACATTTCCCATTAGTATGTCGTAGTCCTTGAGATCCGCCGTCTTCATCAGGGTCATGGGATCCGCCGGCAGAAAGGCCCCGTCTATGGTTGGGGCAGATGGGAAGCTGAGGATGCCCGAGTACGAGTTCCATTGCTGCACCGAAATGGTCTTGGCGTCCACGCCCCGCATGCAGCTCATCACGTGAGCGGGATTGGTCTGCGGAAAGAGCAGAGGCTCTACAATCTAATCCGGAGATCGGGAAGGCGTTTCGGACTCACCTTCAGCATGGAGGCATTGCAGTTGCAGTCGTTGATCAGCGCCTTTCCGATCTCCACGGCCTTCTCGGAGGTCATGTGGCTCCAGGGTGCGTTCATGGTGCCCGACTGCATCATGGCCCGCTTGACCACGCCCCGCGTCACGGGCGACACCAGCTGGGCGTTCACCGAGCTGGAGCCCGCCGACTCCCCGAACATGGTCATCCACTCGGGATTGCCGCCGAAGGCGTGCGCATTTTCCTTCAGCCAGCGGATGGCCAGCGCCTGGTCCCAGAGCCCCACATTGCCGGGTGCCTCCTCGGCGAAGTCTGCCGGCATTTCCGGCGCCAGATGGAGGAAACCAAAGGCCCCCACGCGATACTGGAAGGAGGCCACTATCACATTCCCCACGGCCGCCATGATGTCCGCATTGTAGATGTCCAGGGTGGCCGAGCCGGTCATGAATCCCCCTCCGTAGATCCAGATCAGAATGGGCAATCCATTGGTCGTGTTCTGCGGATTACCATTGTGGATCAGGTGGTCCGTGTCCGCCGGCTTGGAGCCCGAGTGCTGAGGGGAGGATACTGTGCTAGAGCGGATCATTGTTACTCGGGAAAGGTCGACCCACTCACCTCGGCACCATTGGCGCCTCTTCCATGGCGTAGACGCGCCTTGGCCGGCGCCCAAACGTTGATGTACAGGCAGTCCTCGGAAACATTGGTGTTGGGGTTCCAGATCTCCTCGCCAGAGAAGCCCGGAAAGTATTCGTAGCTACGGGAAGAGGGAAGAGCAGAAGAAGAGCAGTCTTGATTAGTGACTGACCCATATGCCATATGCAAATCAAAGCCCGGGCGTCCACTCTCCCCATCCGGAATTCGGTCACGCCAATTACGAAAACCTAACCAGCTGTGTTATTTATTTTACGAGTATTTGCTCTCTTCCGTTTTTCTCGTTTGACTTCCCCTACCCCTCCCCCCCCTCGCACAAACACTCGTGGCGCTTCCACCCCCCTCTGGGCCGGGCCTACAATTTGACATAGTTTTTCCGCCTTATAAATGTTGAATACCTCGAACCGATATCTCTACGCATTCGTATAAAGAAAGCTCAGCATTTGTCTGTCCCTTCCTGTAGATACACACAGATACGCACACACACACACACACACCGCACATCCGTGTGTGTGTGTGTGTGGGTGTATGTCTAGGTGTGTTTGGCTTCGTGTCCATTAAAATTAACTTTGCCGTTTCGCATAAAAGTAATTTATCACAGACGCGACGCAGAGAGCAAGAGGCGATTTCCCTCGCCACTCGCTCTTTCTCTTTCCTCTTCCGCTACCTTTATCTCTATATTTTTCTAATTTCCTTTTGCCACACACACATTGATGACTTTCCATTAGGGTGGGTGGCAATGCTAGAGCCAATTACAGCCCTATCTCTCAAGAGCAGAGCAAAAAGCAGTTCCCCAAAGCAGAAGCACACCCCAATGATATCAATACTGTTGTTGAAGTCCATCCCACGCACTATATTAAATATTTATGGTTGCTAATTGCAACATTTAGTGCAAGAAGTAGATTCAGGCAGGCAAAATACTAAATAGTTAATCAATTCAATTCAAGAAACAAGCCATCGTAGGTCCCATCCGGAAATATGCACTTTAAATTGCGGCAACAAATAATTTAAATAAAATTCAAGCTGCCCAATCGAAGATCCCAAGGCGAACATGTAGTGCTCCATGGTATATTAGAAACAGGGACATCGAAAGGGATCTAAAGGTTCCTAAAGTGGGTGATGGAAGCTTCATGCAGCTAAGGATGTCCTAATGTACTAGCCAGACATCTAACAACCCAGCCAAGAAAAAGAAGACTCTAAAGGTGCCATCCACTGGATCTCCCTACAAGATCCCTACAATAATATTCCCTTAATTCTATGTATTTATCACCTGTGATGTATTGTTCTTTCTCTTAAATTAAAAACTAGATTAAATTCCCATTAAACTCGTTTATAAAAACCTACATATTTTACCCAAGAAAAAAATAAAAAAATAATTCACGAATTCAAATTAAATAGCATTGAATATTTCCGAAATATAACCGTATATCTGCCAGTAATTTTGCTATTTTAAACAGTCTAAATGAGGCTTGTGTATTTATTGTTAATTGTTTAGATGGCACAAATGGTACTCTATTCAATTATGAATCGGATTATACTTAAACCAGCAATGAGCAGATATCACTATAATTATATACAGCTTATGATTTCTAACGAACTAGTGGCAAAATAAATAAATCTGGGTACAAAATTAGTATAATGCATCGCATTATACAAAACATAGAGATTTTCCTTCAACGAGATATTAAATAATAGTTTCCTGACAGTCGCACAAATATTTAATTCAACTTTCAAATGCCTTTAGCCCTTGCATAAATGATTTATCTTTGAAACACTTCCAAACGTTCAGAGATGGCCTTTCGGTGACTCTCCTCTCCTCACTGTTCGGTAACTTTGAGACTACTTCAAAAGCAATCTTTCTACTTAAACAGATTGGCATTTTTCTTTCCCATTAATAGTTTTCTGTAGCATTTCGGGTGGCATTTTTACGAGTTTCCCAGCAGCGATTCGGCCAGGACTTTGTCGGTCGTAAATAATTAAATGCAAACACGATGCAATTGCAGGCTGCAGAGCAAACTTGGAGGCGACCCCTCTGGCTGGCGTCTTTTGTTTGACCGGCATTTTGCATGCGGCATGACGTCACTAGCAACAGTTAGGTCAACACCGTGCTGCAACGGCAGCCGGGCTCCGATTTGTTGTTTCTGGGTCAGCTGCAGAAGTGGAACACCCTGACCCAACAGTCCCCACCCCACCAACAATCCCCTGACTTACCGCTCTTGGACGCAGGTCGCGGATAGACGAGTGGCGTCTAGGACGCCGTGCCAGGGCTCCGCCGGTACCGGTTTGCGAAAGCGCAGGTCCTCGACTGGCGGCTTGGCGTAGGGGATGCCCGTATAGACGTGCACTTCGCGGCCCTGCACCGTCACCGAGCGGCCGCGCACCGGCCCCGACGATGTCTGCACCACCAGGCGATCGATGACGCCGCAGACGCCGGAGAGGTGCAGCGAAAGTATCAGCAGCGCCGCGGCCAGCGCATAGAAGAGGCTGTGCTGAAGGGAGCCCATGACGCGGATGCGCGGCAGCGCCGGAAGCAGATGCGCAATTCGCGCGGTCCTGTGTCCTACTTGACGCTGTGACGTCACGTGCAAATGGTCTCGGCTTTGGGGCCCGGCTAGCAGTAGCAGTAGCAGTTGGCTCTGCGGCTTACGGCTTACGGCTTGGGATTGGGCTTGGGCTTCGGCTCGGGGCTTACGGCTTACGGTCGATGTTGAACGGCTCTGGTTTTGCGGTTTCTGGTTGCTGGGATTTGGCGGATTTAGTATTCTTCTGAATGTTGGCGACTCGACTCGACTGTTGCTCTCTGCTACATCTGCACTACTGCAACCCACTACGCAACCATCGGCGAAGGACTATTATCCGGTTGTGCTTGCTGGTGCTGCTGGTGCTGCTGCTGCTGCTGCCACAGTTGCCACTTGAAGCTGCCGTATGTGTCTTGCACTAAACATTCTTCCAAAGCCTTTGCTCGGTCTCCCTTCGGCCTGGCCTAGGACGTGGCTCGGGGCTGGGGACTGGGAACTGTGGACTGGGGACTGGGCTCTTGGAATTCCACTGAAGTCAGGGTGTACGGCTTTGGCTTTGTGCAGCTGTTGCACTTTTGCAGCGGTGTTTCCTATGCGCTACCTGCGCCTACCCTCAGCTCTGCTCGGCTCGGCTCGGCTCGGCTCTCTTCGCCTCTCCTCAGGTTTCCTTTCCTTTCCTTTCCGTTCCGGTATGGTCTGATGGTCGGATCTCTCGGGTCTGCTCCTCTCTGTGTGTTTAAACTGCAAATAGAAAGGACAGGCATTAGGGTATTTGTCTTAGTTTCCTGCCAGTTGGTACAGCAGTGGGCGTGTGCTCCGAGGTTTGTTTAATTTCTCTTTTTCCCTGCTCTCTTTATGCTGCTTTTTCCGGTGCCCTTTCTGCTACTTTTCTGCTGCTGTCACCACAAAAGTACAAGTCGACTCCTCTGGTGCTTCGTCTTCGACGTCGTCTGCCCCCGTTTGTATGCTACAGTATTTAAGTGTGTTTGCATTTGTCTCTGTCGTACATATGTCTGCATCAGTGTGCAGTGTGTGTGTGTGTGTGTGTGTGTGTGCATGTGTTTACCACTTCAGCAGAGATGCAAATGCCCCCCAAAGACCCCATCCACCGTCTCGTCTTGCACTCAAAAGTTTCCGAGTGCCGCCCCATTCCCCTCCCTGCCCCACCCCACCGGCACATTGGGGCCACTCACAGCTCACAGCTGCTCTCGAGATCCGTATATCGTTTTCTAAGGCTGTGTCGTCTCCTTCAAGCTTTCGGAAACGTCGTTAAACATAATTTCTTATATATGCTGTCATAAAACCGTCACTTGACCGATTTATGCAAATATTTTATGGCCCAGCCGACATCTTGATTCAAGCAATCGTAAATTGAGGGGTCGGTCACTTGATTTAATTGGAAATGCAACGCAATAACATGCCTTCCAGGCTTCGACTTTAGATACATACAAACACAGAGCACTAATTAGCAGCTCGAAGTATGTGATGCACCACAAACAGTCGTACTTTTTGCTATACGCGTCATATAAGGAGTCCAGGTAGTTCTTCCGCCACTAGTCCTAATGAAATGCAATGAAGTACTGGCCATATATCCTTAGTTTTAAGTTAAAGTTTCAATTTTACAAAGTAGTCCTCTGTCTAAGATGCAAAATCACTCTACAACTTGGGATATTCCCCGAAAACCTAAAACCACCCACAAATTTTTTGAAAAATCTCAAAAATATGATATTTTTACCATATTTTGTAAGAGTTAAACAAAGTTACCCCTTAGATGCACTTTTATATCTTCGGACACGATTTCCTTTCTTTGATGCGTCATTTAGAATGATCGAGCGTCGATCACCATGCTTTTTTCAGTATATTCTCGCCGTATATTCGGTATTTTCTTTAGTGTGACCGCGCATTTATGGATTAATTAATAAAAACTAAGCCGTATTGGCTGTTATAGGTTAGACTGGGGCTTCCGTACTGACTTATAGGAATTATCCTACCACAATTTTTATAAAAGTAAGTACTTTTTTGCAGCCTAGCTTAATTCGCAATTGTTCTCTTATTATCACAAAGGATTATCCGTAAAACCAACATTTTTCAACGACAAATTTTTAAAACATAACCTATAATGATTGCGGTTCTCTTGCTGACTTCTTCGATTTATAGATACATATATAGTTCTAGGCTACATCTTCAGTACGACCCAGTACTTGTCGGATAAGCTTTCTTCGGTGCCCCTCTACACACGGTATGAAGTCTTTTTACTAGTTCATACTCGTAATTAATTGGTGTGCTTCTTTGAAAGTTCTTATTTTGAGGGGTGTTTCGGTGTCTCTGTCGAGTGTGTACTGTATGCACAACTGAAGGAAAGTTAACAGGCAAAGTTTTCATACAAATATCACTCTGAAAAGCCAACTGCCTGCCGCACACAAATTAGGCAAAACCAATGGAAAGCTGCCAATTTCTGGCAATGTTTGTGTGTGCTCTGCTCTATAAATATGTCATTTTGTTCCACCTTCAATGTCCTGCTGACATGGGAGGCTGCCTGCAGTTTGAGGGGAAATACAAACAGAAAAACGAACGAACAAACATTTGCCGCAGGCAGTAGCTTAACCCTGCCATGTCCTTGATGCGCCCGTGCTCCTGCGTCGTGTCCTTTGCCAGTTGCAGCAACTTCCGAAGCCAAATTGAGCCGCGACCAGTACCAGAGCCTTGCATGCTGGCAGCCCATTAGACGGGGCCGTATAATAACTCCACTGCCACACCTCCTCCGGGCGCCCAACTGCACCTTATGCTAAGCAGCTCGCCAGCTCTCCAGCCGCTGTCTCAGCCCCTCTGCCTCCCCGGTGGCGCCGCAGTAATTTAAATGTTATTTTGCGGCACAATTAAAATGGCATTAAGACGCCACCGAAATGCGACTTGACTTACAGGCTGCCAATTTATTTCCGTTCCCACTGCCGACGACCCTGCACATTTCAGCTAAATTAGCTCAATTTTCTACATGTACTTTGCATTTTCATTTCTGCTTTGCACCGCATGGTCCTCCGCTGGGGCGGCCATCTTTGTCCCCATCCAGAGATCGAGGCATCCAGGCATCCAGGCATACAGGCTCTGTCAACAGCGCCTGGTCCCGAGCAGATAAGACCGGACCTAAGTGAATATTTTCTTAATTTCTTGCGGCTGCAGCAGTTTTCTTCCCCCTTCCCTCGCCATTTCCCCTTCTGACTGAAACTTTCCAGGAAAACGAGTCGTTTTTTAAGTGGCATGGGGGGAGGGGGTGACACTTTTCTTCGTCTTATTTCATTTGATGGCTTCCCCTGGCTGGCAGCACACAATTCAAGCGCTTAGTTTCAGCTGACACGGGAAATTTTTCTTGCCAACTGTTTTCATAAAGTTGCAGCTTCAAACTTGGCTCAAGGAGCAACTGAAAGCTTCTAAAGTATGAGTACTGCATAGAGATCGCAGAGCTTATTTCACAGCAGCCTCATAGAAAATTCCCACAGCTACTGGGGACCACTCCTTTCAGGACCCAAAGCAGAAAATAATACTGCCCCCTATGGAAATAAAACCTGAATTAATTGTTAATTATTTTTATATTTTTGCAGTATATTTTGCATTGAAATAATCTGATTCTTTAATTAAAATTCTGTTGACGCCGTTGAAGGATTTTCTGCATAAACATTTCATAGTTTTTCTTGTGGCTGTTGGCTTTTTCAGCTTTGCTTTATTTTTCTTTTCCATGGAAACCACATGAATACCCCATTTGGCGACCCCTCAGCTGTGGTGTCATGGATATGATAACAGACAAAGCCAGAGAGACAGCGAGACAGAGGGGGAGGGCGAGAGAGAGAGAAGGAGAAGGAGAGGCGCGAAAAATTTTAATGACATTCAAATTAAATTATAATTTCAAAAGTTTCGCCGCGCCACGAGAATATTGCTGTTGACGATGATGACAAGGACATGACCAGGACCAGCACCAGGACCCGCACCCGCACCCGCACCCGCACCAAAAACCAGCACCAGGTGAAAAGCGAGCTGGCGACACTCTGTCCTCAGTCCACCACTCCACCCTCTCTCTGTTTTGGGCTCTGCCTGGGTCAGTATTCGTTGGCCAAAGGTCAAAAGGGGGAACCAGCAACAACGATAAAGGTTTGGCAGCCTTCCTCGACCTCGATGCTGCTCCCATTCAACTCGCTCTCCCCATCTCTCTCTCTCTCTGTTTGGCTCCATCCCCCTTACACACCGCCCTCCCCATCTTTTGTTTTCAAAATTTGGCGAATGCTAAAAAACTTGGCTAACGACAAAACGAACGGTAAAAGCCAAAGGGTAAACAACACAAAGGCAAAACGAAACAAAAACAAAGATGAGAGACACCAGAGGGTGATTGCTTGGTGAGGGGAGCGGCGGCACGGGACGTGTTTTTGATGTTTGCCGTGAATGTTGTTTCTGCCACACACACACACACACACACACACATAGGAGATATGTACGTGTCTGTTAGAGATGGAAGTGCTGCCACAGGATGACAATTTTCAATCAGGCACGACTTTTTGTATTAATAAATATTTTTGGGTGAAATCTTGGGAATATTTTCCCAAGAATTCAATGGGAAAACACCTTCTTTTAGCTTATTTTACCTATTTTGGATAGCAAAATGGGTCCCCTGTTCATGTTAAATGGTTTATTGCCATGGTCTTTAAATTTTTCTTTGAGCACGGACTCTCACGAGAGAGGCACGAAATGCCCTTCTCTAGGATGCGCCTCCAGCCTTATACGTATACGTATACGACTATGTCTATGTCTATGTCGATGTCTAAATGTGTTGTTTAATTGGTAGGTTGAAGAGGGTAGCGGCAGGCAGGAGAACGGGCGGGGGGGCTGGCAGTGGGATGGCAGTCGGCGACGCTTAATTGATACCAAACGGCAGAGGTGTGAGAGACAGGTGTCTATTATGGACAAAATACCTAAGTACTATTGGCCAATATTGTGACAGGGACCGGGGACTGGGGTCTAGCCAAGGAGAAAACTGTGCACGATTGGAGAAGCTTGGAAAATGTCTAAGGATTCAAATCGTGTTTAATCTTTTGCAGGCCATTTGCCTGTGCTCCCTTCCGGTTAATAAACTTCCGCACAATCATTAAACCCCCGAAAAATATGACCATCTGCTTTAATGGGGCACAATCATCGTCAACTTGCCACTGACCGTTTGACCTTTTCGGCCACCAAGTGACGGGACTCCGATCACAGGCTTCGGCGCCATAAGGCGAATGTCTGGCGCCAGCCAAACTATAAAATAAATGCACGGGCGTGGCGCAAATCGTAGCCGGGTCCGGGTCCGGGTCCGGGTCCGGGTCCGGGTCCTGGCCCACACGACAAGCAAATGACCCGAAATGAGGAGCCGCACAGAACATGACACGAACTTCATCTTCCAGCAGAAACTGAATCGGAATCAATTCGTAATTTCATTATATCAGAGACCTATTAAACAGTGTGATATATCTAATAAGAAATAACAAAAAAGAGAGCTCAGAAGAGAGAAAAATGCAAAGTTATTCTGGTGATTAAATCCTTTTAAAAGTACAAGAGAATCATTTCGAAGCAGACCTGAACTGAACTTAAAGTTTCTGCTGTGATTTTGCAATCATTTTTTCGCTTTAATTATGCCTAGATATATTTCACAGAACCAATCTGCACTGGGTGCTTCTGCATCCGGGTCATGCTGGCTTCTAGAGAAGGTTGGGGGGAGAGCA